GCTATTTTCTGTAGGGGCTGACGGTACGTCACTAGGGTAATAAGTTCCAAAAATGTTGAAAACAGTAGATATCCAGTGGGAAATTGGTGAGTGTACAAATTGAGGTCGCTTGGGCGGCGTCTCTACTGCTCATCCAGTTTGGCGTAGGCGATCCTTTCGCGCCTGGCTGCCTCCTGGTTCCGGTATCGATGCCGCTCTGCCGCGCGTTTGAGAACTCCAGCCGAGGACAGGTACGTGGGTAGTGGGTTTTTCTTGATATTAGGCACCAAACCCTTCAGCGTGATAATCACATCTAAATCCCTCTCTCCGCGCTCCAAGAGGCGCTGCACCTCCTCCTCTGCCTCGTCCTCCTCATCCAGCAGGTGATCAATGGGATCGAACTCAGGGTCGGGTTTGGGGACTGGGCTCCGATAACCAGGTTTGGTAATCAGGAGGGGGGACCGCTCCCCGTGCTCCTTTTCCTGGGCCTCCCAAAACGCGTGCAACGATAGCAAATCAATGTGATAGCGGTTGCCCGCCTTGGGCGGCTTTGGTGGTGGCCGGGAGCCCAGCAACGGGTCAGATTTCAAACCAGCATAGCTTACGCAGTCCTGAGTGATGCCCGCCCGTGGTGAGGCGAGAACTCGTGGCACGGAGTTGAAGTCCTTGCTGAACTCGACCACGTGCATACCTAGGCGGTTGGAGACATCCTCGTAGCTCTCCTACGGAAGAGGAAGGATTAGGTGCCAGGATTTGCAGAGGCTGCACTCAGGAGGAGATCGTACCTGTTCGTTTAGCAGGCGCAGGAATCCGCGTACGATGGAGAGGTAGTTTTTCGTATTCCCTTCCACCTTGGCGTGCATATCTTTGATGCCGATGAGATCACACAGTGTCTTTATTGCTCGGTGACATACTAAGCCGTGGCCTGAAAGAAGCATTGGACTGATAGGTACCACAAATTCAACTGCTAAAGACTGCGTCGTGAGAGATCATGCAGAGGATGAAACGATACTTGCAGAAACAATAGCAAATTCTTACGGACTAGTTGCTTCTAGGGTCTTTGGAATATTTAAAAACAATTCTAATACGTGAGAATAAGCATTTAGAACAAAGTAAAGGTACCTTCGGGCTTCGGTGTAGCGTAGATCGTAGTGTGCCACTCTCGAACGTGGCCAAGATGCCATACTGCAATAAAAAGGAGACTGGACTTAAACCACAAGAAGAAGTTGAAGGCAGTTTAGTTATTCAGATAGTTGATTTAACGAACTATATTCACTAGAGCATATTGCTTCGATATTGGAAGGATGCTTACCGTAAACAAGATGAAGGGAAGCAAAACTAGCTTAAAATATCCTCTCGTACTTAGTTGTGAATCACTATTGCATACACGAGTGCAAAAGAAGCATTTCCCTTAGGATATATGCCATCAGAATAATATAGGAGACAATGAAAAACTCACGCGTCCGATTCTCCTTCAAATTAAAGGAAATAAGGTTAAGGAATGCACGATTTTTCGCCCGTTTCAGGGCGCCACGTAAGGTGACTGATCTGGCCTTTCCGACGCCACAAACACCTCGTCCGTTGCCAGCCACAACCAGTGCAGAAAACCGTCGATAGCGACCAACGGTAGCGGTCATTGTGGATACAGCCTATTAAGATTAAACAGAAAAGTAACGGCACATTGCCTCGCATTACCAACAAACGAAAGGCCAAAGTTATGACCCAAAGTGTCAAGAAATCTAAAAGAAACATACTTTAAGTTCAAGAACACGTGTATCAAAGCCTGGAGAGCCGGAATCCAAAGGTCCCAAGGACTGACCACCCATGCTTGCACCAGTCCAGCCACGAAGAAGCGGGGGTAATTTTACTCTTTTCTTCTTCACAGCTGACTTGTTTCTCAATTCCTCTAACTTATTCAGGTATTCTTGATTTACATCGCCCTAGATATTGGAGATGATAAGACATCTTGACTCAAGCACACTGTGTCAAACGGTATGTCGAAACACAGCGATCAAATGACGGAATCACGACAGGTAACAAAGCCCATATATAGCGACTGACTACGTATCTAGGCACAAAATTGATGACAGTTTACCTTCTGAACTTTCTGTAAGGTGGATTCACGATACAGAGGGGCATTCAACCCAGGCCATAAGTAGCCCTCGCGATTGCCACCAAGACGTTGACCGCGATTAAGATCGATTTTGGGTCTCGTTACACGGCGTTTACCACGAGCACGTTTTTTTGTGCTGCCTTTCGGACCAGTTACACCTTCCCAAATAACATCACCCGGTAAGGAAGTAAATACAGTGCTATTCCTCACAGGAATGACGCAAAAGTTTGGGCGGTCCGAAAGACACCTCGGTACTAGTGGGTTGATGGGAAGCGATGGTAGTAACAGACCTGGTGTCGGTGGTATTAAAGTGCCATAAGGGGAAATTTCACGTCGCAAACAACTTAAAAAACCCTTTCGGAGTAGCGGCGGCAAAAGCCTGGACACCATCGCGCGTCGTGTTATATAAAGACGCAAGCACCCTCTTTTCTAGAATTAGCGCGCAAGCCTAGACACAAAACAAATCACAAGTAAAATGCAAATATTTGTTTAGAAGCACGCTTGGACGTATTTCTAGGCTTCATATTGAATATGCTTCGAAATATGACGGCCTTGAGTATTGCATTTACGAGGCGTTTGCGCGATTTTTAAATCAAGTAATGGTTGGAGTGATGGAGTTTGGGTCGACGCGCATGTGCCGATCAATGACCCTTTTTTTGGGTTATTTTAGTCTGCTCCACCCCTTGAAGACCATTTTTATATGGACAGCTTGCGTCGCGTACTGCGCTTCTATCCTATTCAAGCACTTGGATTCGCGCGAAATACTCCCCTTTATGATTTTACATTATAAAGCAATGGTATTCTCGCTGTTTTGCGTCCTGATATCAGCCATAAAGTTCCGCTCTTCAAGTCTTTTCGAGAAGTCCACCTTATACCGACTTGGAACAAATTTCCGTGCTCGTCGCTTGTACCGTCTTTTCCTCCTTTGTGCGATATCGTCGGTTATAGTTAGCTCTGGACTGAATGGGAACTTAACTTACCATGATTTGTTTGGCTTGGGGTTGGCGTTTATTTTTATTGATTGGAGTTTCATATCAAGTCTCATAAAAGTGAGTTTTAGTGTTAATAAGGATTTGTGTTAGGTGAGTCTCACTGCTCCCATGTCGGGTTATCCTCATTTCGATCATGAGAACTACCTCAAGCTTCATTCGGAAGAAGCCGTCATCTTCTTCTCTACAATGGACAACGTCGTGCTGGACCATTTTATAAAACTGCTGCTGTTTAATATCGTTAGCCATTGGCCTCAATCTGATGTGGGCATCGTCTGTGAACGTTTGAAAACTCACCTTACTGTTGCTTTTGTAGCAACTTTCAGTCTTCTCCCCGTTTTAACACGTATAAACTTTGCAAATAGTCCACAAAATGCTGGTTTTTTTGATTTTCGCATGTAGGTTTTCCATGTTTCTTATTGGGTTTTGATTTTTTAGGCCGCACTTTATTTTAAAGGAAAGTAGTCGTACACGTTCTGAATCTGAACCGCCTCCACAAAAGTATGATGCGGGGCTTTTCCAATCGGTGTACTCAAGTAATCGGCATACTGCCTATCTTTCGATGGCTGCGGCGTTGGTTATTTTCAATGCTATTTTAGCGGCACAATCACTTGCTCAAACGGCGTATTTCGGTGGCTTTCCAAAAATGTTGGCTAATTATTTCACTCTTATGAGTGTGTGGTTATGCATTGGCTCCTATCTCATCTTGGTCTCCTTCTTCTGTCGCCTAAAGCACCTTTTTGCCTTGGATTGCACTTGCGAGATCTGCATCAAACCGAAGCTGCGCAGATCAAGGATGCGCTCTGAATCGGAATATACCGACGTTCTTCCCACTGATGCACTAGTGGGTATATCTCTGAATGAACCCATAATAGTGTTTCTAAATGCTCAGTCACTTTCATTGTGGTTGTAGGATGAAGAGTTTGTTGCCTTCCTTCTCATTGTAGCTGGGAGCTCCTATTGAAGCACCTTTATTCATCGAACCGGCTAGCTTGTATCACCAAAATCAGCACCACCATGACGGCGATAATGAAGCTGATGAGAACGAGAACGGTGTCATTCCCAAATCACCCAAACTCGAGTGTGTTGTGAAAGCTCGTGTTGAAGACCCTGATGTGGTACCTATTTTTATCTTCCAATGCTGTTTGCTCTCTTTACTGTTTGGAAATCTGCTCCTTTATATTTACGTACTTGCATGCGTAAGCATTATTTGTTTCTGTGTAACCTCGGACAGGTATCAGCGTTGTCAGACGCGGAGGTGCTGCGGTTGATTCGCGATGGCCGTCTGAAAACTCGTGATCTGGAGACAGCGGTGAAGAGCCTTCCGCGTGCGGTAGCTCTACGCCGTCAGGACTTAGCCACGCGTCTCAGCAATCCCCACTCCATTGATCGCATCCCCTTCGCCAACTACGACTACCGACCTGTCATGGGACAGTGCTGTGAAGAGGTGAGAGGCCACCATCAAAACTGTCGTTATAAATTCTTTAGACACCACAGCCTTGCTCACTTGTTATCCGCTTATTCACTGCCTCAGAAGAAGTTGAGCTCGATTTTAAGTCGGCGTCTCAAATTACATTTGCATCATCGGCTAAAACTTGCTTTCTCTTAATGCTAGCTGTTCCAAAGGAAACTTTGACAACTCGGTTGGATTTTCGCCACTTTGCTCGCTTTTGATTATCTTCCCAGTCCTCTATTAGGGCCTTTTTACTTTCGTCTTGCGCAGTTGCCTTTTGGATCTCATAAAACCGTGTTTTGAGGAAATCTCACACCCATGTTTTCCATCACGACCCACCTGTTTAGCACTTGGGTCCGTTTAGAATGCAACATCCGTAGTTATTTATCACACTGTATGCTGCCACAGTAAAAGAGTTAGTTCTGGAGCTGCCTCTCCTAATTATTCATACTTTCTTCTAACTTCTTTATTTCACATGTATCAAAGAATTTCTCGAAACTACTAGGAGATCTCTACTTTGCGTATGCTCTCTCAGTCGACGTTTTTTGCTTGAAGGGATATAGCTGGGAAAACACAGCTGGGGATCCTTCATGCTGGCAGTTACCAAGGGCGAAACTTTCAAGGTCAGAGTTCGGCACACCCAGCGTGTATCATTCGTTATCCGTTAACATTCACCTCGGCAAACTTTTTCTCAATGTTTTAAGCTATATCCTGTGTATACAATAGAGCGGAACTTATCATCGAAAGGAAATGAGGGGGAAAAACCCAAATTCAAGGAGTTGAAACCACATTTATTTTTGGACATCGTGCCTGCTACACTTATGCACCTATTTCAGTGTTCATCTAGTGTCCATAAGATTTCGGCATGGCAGGGCCTGTCTGTAAGGCTGAACCATCCTAAGACAGCCCGCTGTGCCGGCCGTGGTCGTCGGTTGTTTGGACTTAGTAGTTCAATGCATAGACTGTCAGTCACATGAATGGCTGTCGAAGTTGAGTTCATCACCGGCTGGTGCCTAGTCGTCTACTGTCTGATGTCGTCCAGAAAATTGTTTACGTTTCCTTTTAAAAGAAATTTTTATTCGCGTTTGTATAAATGCGCGCTCTACTGTTACCTGTCCTCTTCATTAACTGTACCTCAACCGGGCCGGCTTGCACCATGTGTGCCAGCTATGAGTACCTACTTCTGGGCTCTAGTTTGACCTGAACACGCCTAGTAGCGCAAACATTTTCAATTTGTGTATTTGTTATTTCGCGTATAAGCATGGAATACGTAGAACTTCAATCGCATTTGAGGAGATGGATCATTCATTCCATTATCTGGCAAAATCTACCCCTTTCGTCCATAGGTGTTGGCACGTGAATTTAATGCACCATTTCATGTTAACACTTTTTCCACCTAAAACGCCCTGAGGGACTGAAATACTGCCATGTTGGGTGGCATGGTCATGGCCACAAACATCTGCTGCAGATTCTGTATGGAGCAAAAGCGGTGTTTAATCATTGATAGCATCTTCTACTTCAACTGCTTGATCGTCCTGATCAAAACTTCAATGGGAGTAGAAGCCGACCACGCATTTGCTTGTACACAGTTTGGAAGTGAAAATACTCTAAAACTCGGTTAGATGGGGCTTTGGGTATAATCAAGGAGGCACTTATGTGCAACTTCACTCCTCCGTGCATGCTTTCATCATGTTACTGACGATTCCGTACTTTCTGATCAGGTGATTGGTTACATCCCAATTCCGCTGGGAAAGGTGGGTCCTCTGCTATTGGACGGGCAGGAGCATTACCTCCCTCTGGCTACGACCGAGGGCTGCCTAGTTGCCAGCACCAATCGCGGTTGCCGAGCTCTCTACCTTTCGGGCGGTGTGCGAACTGCTCTCTTCAGGTAAGGTGTAAGCCGGTTCACTACATTTCCACCTCCTCTGTTTGCTTAAATGAACCAGGGAGATTTGATACCTTGCTCCTTACTCGATAGGGATCAAATGACTCGCGCTCCAGTGGTAGCCTTTCCATCTGTTGGCGAGGTAGTAAAATGCATCGCCTGGATCGAGTCGCCACAGGGCTTTCAGCTCTTGCGGGAAGCTTTTAATGAGACCAGTTCATATGCCGATCTTGTCTCCGTCTTTCCCAACCCCGTGAGTGTGTATCCGCCCACGTGCTAGGTGACCTTATGGCCTTGTCTCTGTCCCACAATTGTGCTGATTTACTGATTGTAGGTGGGCCGCTATCTCCATCTGCGCTTCGCCGCGCGGACAGGAGAGGCGATGGGAATGAATATGGTGAGCAAAGGTACTGAGCGGGCGCTTCGATGTCTCGGCAAGTACTTTCCTCGTATGCAGGTGAGTTGGCAGTTTTTTGATCACAAATTCGAATTTGCTGCATAACTATTCCGCAACGCTCGAGTTGTTCCCGCAGACTCCGTTAGGGCTTATTTGTCTATCGAAATTTGTCTTCAGGTTGTAATGGTGTAAACGTTTGTGTCATATACTTGGATTCATCGGGCGATTAAGTTGGTCCGTGTGGTTTTAGGTTCAACTTTGTGTTATGGCTGGTTGTAACTCTCATGCGGGCTACAAGGCATGAGTATCATGGGAGCCCACTGGTAGTGTATTCTTTATTGTGTTCCCTATTGCTTAACTTTTTTTGAGCCCTATGAGCTCGGGTGAACATTTAAAACCAACAGCATCCCCAGTTGGGACTTATGCTGCGAGGATTTATTTGCTGAAGGCCGAGCGAGTTCTGTCACGAGCTATTTTGTATGCCAACTGCTATTCACGGGGGTTATTTTTTCCGAAAAGGGAATCCTTGAAATGTACCTCGGGTTCTAATGTACCTTCACAGATATACTTTCGGTGTGTAACCATTCTGATGCCACTCAGCTGCAACTTGGGTTTGTTCACCACTTCTTGCAATATGAGGAAGTATAAGTGTTTTGGCCATAGTCGAATGTTTAAACATTGTAATCGTGAACGCTCTGATTGATGATTTCCGTTTGTTTAAACTCATCCCCGCTCCACTGCTGACTATCATACAGAAATGGAGATGAAGATGCTGTCCAAAACTTGATGTGGTCTTGGTAACACTTCTATCATGCGCATCCGTGAATTGATGTATCCACACCAGCCGCCTTTTTTCCATGACTGACATGGCACCGCCATAGTGAAAACGGGACTGTTGTTATTTTTTGAGTGGGTTTGCTACCACTGTCGCCACAGCATAGCTGGTATAAACGGAACTCCATGATATAATTTACCAGCAAGTTGGTTTTCTATTGTTCGCCGTCTTGGCCTTCGGTCGATTACCGAGTAGACCTCGTCATCCAATTCCTCCTTGGAGAAGTCTGTGGATTTGCGTTTTATCAAACGGAAGGATAGTCCGATCGCTAAAATGGATCATTTTTTTCTTCTAATACAGAAACTGATCCATAAAGAGTGGAAATATCTGCCACCACTACCAGTGCTTACCCCAAGGGAGATAATGCAGTTGTTTTTTTCCCCTACAGGTGTTGTCTCTCAGCGGCAACATGTGCACGGACAAGAAGTCAGCGGTGATAAATCACCTCCTGGGTCGAGGCAAGTCAGTGTTGGCGGAAGCGCGACTGCCAGGTCGGGTGATATCGCGGGTTTTCCACACTGAGCCGACACGAATAGCGCGGTTGGCGCGCGTCAAGCACTGGACGGGCTCCGCGATGGCAGGTGTGCCCGGCATGGCCGGTTGCAATGCCCACGCTGCCAATCTCGTGGCTGCACTCTTCGCGGCTACTGGACAAGATCTCGCGCAGGTACTTCTTGACCTTGGAAAAAAGAGGTGGACAATATCAGTTTGCTAGATGAAACATCGTTTCTATTGTTCGTTAGCCTCATTATCCATGGATATATTGGTCGTCGAGAAATCGGTAATTTTGCTTTGGCGTTGCCATCCATATTCGGCTTTTCCAGGCCCTTCTTCGGTTCTAGGGAGTTGGAAAATTGGCTCTTAACTCGCTGAAGTATTGGCCATTCTACCCTGCCTTCTCGGTAACACTTCCTTTCACTGAGGCTTCTACTCTGCTTCATAAAGTGCTATGCTTTTGTGGTGTGAATAGTCTACCTCAACCCAATTTGGATAAGTTGGTTCGTGATTTCTCAGGCTAGGGCTGTATTATCACTGCGAGCTCCCGGATGTACTCAATCACAATTATTTCTCATGCTCGACCTTCGTTTCTTTATTTCTCCAATGGTTTTCGGGCTTTTGTTTGCTTTTTGGATATGGTATCATATGGCACCGACGAGATTCCATGTAATCCTCTAGGTTGAACTATTCCTTCATTTACTTTGTGTACCTGCACTGATAGCAGGTTTAAATGACTTGCAGATCACTTAATACCTCATTGAGGACAGAATGGTTTTTTTCTTCTATCTAGCTACTCCAAAATATTCGTGTCAGCTACACTTTTTCCGTTGAACGATTCTATTTAATGAACGATAGGTGGTGGACTCGAGCGCCTGCCTGACACAACTTGAGGTGGAGGAGGACGGGAGTCTGTACGCCAGTGTGACAATGCCCTGCATCGAGGTAGGAACAGTTGGCGGAGGCACACGGCTCCCCGCGCAGCGCGCCTGTATCGAGATGCTCGACTTATCTCTCGAACGGCCCGCCGAACACCTTGCTCGTCTTGTTGCTGGTGTGGTGATAGCGGGCGAGCTCTCGCTTCTCGCCGCTCTGGCCACCAACGATCTGGTGGAGGCGCACATGCGCTTAAACCGAGCGGCGGCAGCGGTGGCTGTGGCAACAGCTGGCCACCCGGCGGTGGAGGAGAGTAAAAGTGACCGGTCGGGCTGCAATGATCTCCTCTTGCCCAATGCTGACAATTTTGGCATGTGATTAGGGAAGCCTCGATGTCCCTTTTTCGTACTCCTGCTACTGCCACTACTACTAGTCTTCTGGGGATCTTATGGTTTCTACCTCAAAATAGGGTACCATTTTTAAAATATGGAACCATATTTTTAGAGCACACACATCGTGTGTGCCACTTGTACACTTTGTACCCGTGATGTTCACATGCGATGGTAGTAAATTGATAAACGGTTTGTTCAAAATCGTGATTTCATTGACATCAGATGGTATCAATATAAATTGTTGGAATATTAAGTCTTGCTTTTAAATATAAGACGGGGAAAGGACTTTCACAGGTATCCAGCGCCTAGCTGCTTTGTTTAGCACTATTATTCTATTCAATTTAATGCTTACGTTATCTGAAGTAGAGGACTTGCGATTCTCCGTGTCCTCCCTTAAGTCGCAGTAATCCATACCACTGTTGCTAGCGTACGGAAGGTTTTGGAGGTCGTAGAAGCGGCTAAGGTACATTCCGTAGGAGCTTGGAGGTCCACGTGATTTGGTACGTTACGAGGTCTTCCTGTGTACCTCCTCGTTTGAGCATCTCTTGCACCGCTCCCCTGGTCACCCTTCTATATCGTCTATCACACTGTATTCAGTGGTTCGAAAGCCACTCGGAACTCAGAAACAGTGTTTGCAAGATTCTCACAGATGCGTCTCATCGATTCTACTGTTCCCAGAACCATGTACCGATTGTGTACTACAATTTGGGGAGGCGGAGCCATCGGCTTAGTGGTGAGAAGCGCTGCAGGGTTACCTACAACAAGTGCCAATCACACGGATCAGCGGTGCTTGTCTTAGAGCGATGTGGCATATCGGAAGTAAGGAGTCGGCCTAGCGGAGCATAAAATAAAATCAGGTAGATGGGGACTGTTGAATTGTGTGTAGGATGCGGTTTTCATGATTAGATTATTAGAGTAGTGGGCAGTGAGAAAGATCACTGTTGAAGACCCATGTGATGTGGTGTCTAGCCGTCCTGCGACCAAACATTGCATACTGACTAAAGCAGCGGTTCATTTTTGTTACATGGGGAAGCTGGGGCTACGTGGGCGAACATACACAAGGCGACGGTGCGCAGGACAGAGGTCTACTACATGCGTTTGTAAAATCAGATAAGTGGATAGCAAGCCACTAGAGTAGACCCAGTTTTCTAATGTATCTGATATGATGGCATCTTATGATTTCGTTCATTAAGAACTTTAAGGTTGCACAATCAAGAGAAAGTGATTTTCAAGGTACTAAATAAACGAATTATTACTTCTGCCCTCTTTACAAAATTTAGGCTTTGTAAGCAAATGCATCATCATGGAAGTTAGGAGTAGTTGGATATATGGGGAGCCTTATTTTTACCTGCAATACTCATCAGGATATTGGAAACTGTCCAGAAATTTTATTATTGATACAAAGACTTTTCGAATGCTCATAGCAGTTAGGTCAGCCTATCTTAGTAAAGTTATGTGCAAAGATGTGGAGCACAATTTTGTTATTTTACATCGTCTTAAAGGTCAAGACGCCCCACGCACTTAAAGGTTTTCTCATACCTTAAGTTTGTGCTTCTGAGAATGAATCTCGACTCCAACACTCTGCGTCAAGTTTTCGATGCCCTTGACAATAATAAGAGGGGATACATTACAGTCGAACAGTTCACCAGTGCGCTCGAGAAATTTTATACGTCAATAGCTCATGAAAGTCCTGATGATGAACATCACGCTAAGCTAGCTCGAATGCAATCAATGGTTTGTTTTTTTATTTGCATAAAATTCTAGGATGTTAATAACATTGTTAATGCCTTGGATCCGGAAAAGGATGGAATAATATCTTTTGAAGACTTTGAGTCGGCGTTTCAGAATTTCTTCAACTGTGAAAGTATATTCTACATAGTAAACTTTTACCCAAGTGTAGATCGGGAAGAGTTAAAGGGTAAAACGATGACGGTAAATCTTCATGGTCGCCGAGTGTCTATTACACCTGACGACTTTGTAATGCACCAGGCTGAGTACGATCCGGACTTAAAGGTATGTAAAATCTGTCAGGTAATCGTAAATTTTGATGCATTGAACCAATACTTTAGTATATACAGACATATAACTGTAATCACTGTTCCATTTTTATGAGCACGTAGTCCTGATATTCAAAATACGTCATAAAATAAAGCGCGTCGATTGTTCTACAGACGGAAGATAGTGGATTTCTAGAACCTGGCGTTGGAGAGTTCACTCCGACTCGGCCATCCACACTTCTGTAAGTAATAGTAAGCTTTACTTCTGATGACATATTACACATCTGGATCTCTGCATTTATTACTTCCATTTGATTTTGTTTACAAATTGGCCATTTGTCAAAAATTCTGCCAAAAACTGGCTTGTGTCCAATAAGTTATAACTACACCACTTAAAAAGTGCCAACTAGAGTACAGTTTCTTATTTACGACTTAAGAATATCAGATTGTCGGCGACCCTTGTTTCGCCGAGGTACACCCAGAAACCAGAGGTGAGGCGTTACTCTACTGCTGCTGAAAAATCGCTTGCTATCATTTACAACTTCTTAGGTATTCTTACGTCCTTTGTGAAAAAGCCTAATGAAACTGCCTTTTCTAATGGTTTTAGCATTAATAGCGGCAGATTGCCACTCTAAAGTCTGTATTCTCTCGATAACCTAGGCTTCCTTTCTGCGCTAACAAATTGAATGTTTGTAATCAGATCGCCTTCACTTTGTAATTTAACTTCTTTTTAAAATCTTCTTAACAATTAAAAAATTAAATACCTTCCAGCACCAGGACTTCTGTTCCTTCATATCATGAAAACGCTGGATCGCCATTTAGTGGCTCACGCTCCGATCTGATGATGGACGATCCTGACAGTAACTTGGAACAGCTTAAGGTGAGTACGTTCACAATTTTTCCCTGAAATTACTCACAAAACCCTTTTTATGAGGTCATTTTGTGGGTAGATTATCATGCAACTCAAATTGTAGCACTACTAATTGTCATGTGATACACAGCTGTGTGTTGAAATTGAGTAAGTTAGGGGGACTTTTGATTATCATCCGTAGAACCAGCTAACATTTATGAGAAATGTGTAGTTCTTATTGCCTTCTGATAACTGGAGTCAGATCGGGTGGTAGGTTTAGGCATCTCTGTCATAGTCACGCGCCATACTAATGCTTCATTGATTTGATATTCTACCCTCCTCAAAAACCATAACGTGTTTGCGCTTGAGTTTTATCATCTTATTCAGTCATTATTCATTTTTAATAAGAAGCATAATTCACGATCCACTTAATTTACCACAGAATTGGGCGTAGAAGGTAAAGCGGTAAGCTCTATTGTGATTTTGGAATGGGACATTAATTTGATCTTTTAAACAATCAAGCAATCAAACATTCTTTTGTTACCTCGCAAGACACGGTTTTTCAGGACTTCTGTTTAGGCTTAAGCATTTCAACAAACGTTGAAATAGTACTATCAGAACTTGAATCCTTTGTCTATAAGTCTTGACATGAAAGGCAGGAGGAAATCGTGCACCCACCTCGCGCTCACTGATTTTGCATTTCCAGAAGCGCCAGCAAATCTATTGTGCCATCATTTGAGTCCTTGAGGCGTTTCACATACGACACAGAGCCGACGAATTAGGTTGTTGGGCGAATAGCAGCAAGTCAAAGGCGTCTCACCGAATCACGCTTTTTTGCATTGTGCTGTTTTTTGAGGGCTTTTCTTCTTACGCGTACAAACGTTTTGTGATTTGGTACTGAAAAATTTTAATAAATTTACAGTGGCTTTAATTTCTGTCAAGCTAACAATGTCTAATTTAACAACCCTCTAATCCGCCTACTGGAACTGAGGGCTTATGCACAGAATGGGTCTGGTATCCACTGAATTTGCATATTTTTGCGAAGGTACCAGACGATGTTTCACTATTCTGGACTCAAGACGGTACTTTAAAACCTCATCCATTGGCTGTAGTAGTTAGTTATATCACTGTTCCTTTGATTCTCTCATGCATAAGAAGGAATTGGAACTCAATCTGATAGGACTACTGAAGGTCTTCACTAAAGCTGCACAACCGGAGGACTGGGTTTAAGCCCGAATCGAGCCCATCCTGGGTACAGGACTACAGTCCATGCGGTAGCTGGCGTTTCGTCATCCAGGATGTTCACAGAGCATAAATTTAGGAGAGTATCTTCTAACAACTTCTTACCAAACACGAAGTGGCAACCCGTAATGTCTCCGAGTGCGTGCTACGACTGACAGAAGGGTTGATGCAAACATCCAACCTCACACAGGACCATTCAAGACTGCCACATTTCAGGATTGACGTCTGCCAAGAAGGGGACGTAGTGCAAGTATACCTACCGATGGCGCTATCAGGACGGATTCATCTACAGTTTGTGCAGGCAGTGCGTGATTTAATAACCATGGTAGATGGAATTTGCTAGTTGCCGGTGCTCGTTTATTCCTCATCATATGTTGATGAAAGACGTCATTATTAATGCAAAGTCAACGTCAGTAGTGTGAGCATCTCATTAGTCAGACGGCAGAATGCTGGGTATTTGCCTCCTTTCGAGTACGATGCAAGTAAGTTACAGCTCCAGTACCTTCAAAATGTGCCCACACAACACGCATTTACATGAACATCCTGAATCCTTGTGGTTGCCACCTTCACACAAGCATTGCTATGAACTACTTCTTAAGTTAAGGTTTATTGAAATAGTTGGTTCAGTGTCGAAAGGCAGCGGGGTACACAAAGTGGGGACCTTTCACAATTCGAGAATTGACAAGTCAACGTAAATTGCGGGAGAATTTGGAAATTTTTTTAATTTTCTGGGATGCGAAAAAAGTGTCTGTGCCTAAGCTGAAACATCAAATTTGCTATTCCACAAACGAATATTTTTGCCTTTTTGTACTAATTGCATTGTCCGAAAACTCTTCAAAATTAGGGAACACCATAGTTGACTTTTGCATACAACTAAGTAAGCACCGTAACCACTGGAAATGTCAAGACGACAATCTATGACGCTTACACAGCATTCCCATCAACCGGGTTAACATCAAACAAATTGGAGCCGGAATCGTCAGGGTTTTATCAGGTAAAACGGCTCGTACTATCATTTATTATTTTAGTTTCTAGGAATCAATTTTGAATATACCATTGGAAACTTTAGGAGAGCTGGCGAGTTGAGTAGGTTGGAATAGTCCTAGAGAACATTCTGTTATGCAAGCCAGGTTTTGCATCTCATTGAGGGTAGTTATTGAGCTTTTAAATAAAATCACTGAATGAATTTTACCCGATTCCTAAGGATATTTGACCGCGTAAGCCAATACCATTCGGGTGCTCAAGAAAATTACGCTTGAAGTTAGTTTGATTTTGATGGCTGAACTCGAGATCCTAGGCTGACTGGCCACAGTGTGTCATCAAGAAAGTTGCCAATTCCTTTCAATCTCCATGTGACTTGTGTTTTTGCATAACGGAGACTGAGTCCTCTCAAAAAAGTTGTGCCTTTAGTTCTGGAGATTAAAATTCAGCCGTATTTAATTTTGTTTGACATCGTTGGTATTACAGAATCAGATGCGTCAGATGGAAGCAAAGATGGACTCGATGACCTCCCAAGCAGCAGTGGCCAGCAACGCAGACGGTCTGGTTGGACGTCTGCGTGAGGAGAACGCGCGTCTCAGCGCCTCTGTGGTGGTGCTCGAGGAGCGCATCAAAGAGATTGAAGCGCGTCACCAACGCGACCTCGAGAGCGAGCGCTCGCATCTGGACTCCCTCATGGTGCGTATTTGCTCTCGTATTCTCTCTCTCCACTTAATGGCATTGCTGTCACGACTAAAATGGCGCGATCTCTCCACCTACGCCGAGGTGTTGGTAGTGGGTGTTGCAACTGTATGCGCACGAGAGATGGGGAGACACACTGACTTCAATCGAGTTCTTTAATCCAGTCACTAGTCAAGTAGTCTGGAGAGAAAAACTTAAAGCTCACAGGCGAAAGTACAGTGACCGCACGTGCGTTGAGCTATTTTTGGCATGTTCCTCTTTGTCTCTTACCTGTTCATTGTTTGCAGCATAGCCATAGCAACATTTTCGTCAATTTTTCGTTCCTAACAAAGAGCCAATCACAACAGTAAGGATTTAGAAATATAATCCACCTTCTAAGGTATAAATCCAAAATTAGGCTGAATTTTAACTGTCCAATTTGGACTGCTATTTAGATCTTTGGAAGGATCGCCAGTGCTGCGCCTATTAGTATTCCGCCACATTTCAGATCTAGGCAGGGCAACAATGGCAGGCATAAATTCCTCATGTTCATCACTGACTTATTGCTTCCATTCAGGAATCCTCAGAATCCGAGCTTAAGGGCTTCTGATGGCAAAGTGAATCAAGTGTGAAACTAATGGTGATTACGATGGCACACTCATCCTTACAATTCTAAGCTGTTACACGAATTGCGGTAGATTTGCTGACAGCTTAAGTGAAATGGAGTTAAGGCGGAGGAAAATGATGAGGACAACAAGCAAAATACCCCAGAAGTAAATTCTCGCACACGTGTCTCCAGTTTATCTAAATTATCTATGTGGAACGGTCATTCCAACGTGAGAAGGCGCTTAGAGGCGCTCTATTTCTCGTTCTCAACTAGGATACGCAATTTTGAAGAAAAAAAAATAAGGTGTAATTTTAAAGTTTGCTGTTCTAATAAGGAACCTTAGCTTGAATGTTTGCCGTGGCAGGCAAAACAATGACGATTCATTCAATCCTGTGTAACTACTCCCCATACAGGTGGTAAGACTATAGTTATCACTTAGATTGGGCAAATTCATGAGTGGGCGATTCTTTCACCTCAAGGGAAAGAAGTGTGGCCACTCAGGCGTAGGACATCTTATTGGGGAAATGTGGAATTCAATCCAATCTGGACAAACGTTTCCTTCAACAGAGAGACGGGATTTGCAACAATAACACAGGTGAAGAATACTTTTGATGCGGGAATAAGGGCATTGCCCTGTAGGGGAGAGGTTGTTGACAGTGTCATGCTATGACAAAAATAGTCGCCCGCGTAAATGTGGTGCCTGAGTCTCCTCTGAGACCTTCCAAGTAAATCAAGCATCTCTGTTCCACAACTGCAAAAAGCCTACTTTCTTTTAAGATTGGAAAATCTCATGTTTTTTGATAATCTAGAGTGGGAAAAGCGATTATAAAAAAGTGGTAAGAAGTAGTCTTACATAGTCTTGGTAACAACGAATAGTGGGGGAATCGTGGCCGGTTGACGCCCAAAAACTCATTCAAGGGTGTGTCGCTTATATAACCATATTTCCTTCAAAATTGCTTATACATCTAATCCCCACTGGCACGTATTTCATGTAGGGAAATTGCTAAACAATTTAGAGTATGGTTTAGGCCTAGGATTTGAAGTTAGTCGAGAAATTACAGACCCCTTCACAAAAGCTAATTTCAATCGGTAAAGCTGCCTTCCCACTTGTCACATGAACTGGCCATGTGATCAGGGAGGACTTAGCAACAGGTTGCCACTAACTTCCCCACATTGACTTGAATATTTTATGTTTTTTTTGTCATTTTTAATGTCGATCCTAGGTTCGTTCTAAGCGGACATACGAGGCGGAAATCGAGAATCTGCGAGCTCGCTGTCAGAAACTGGAAGTTGATCTTTCCGACGCCATTATTCACCTGGGCAAAACTAGAGTGGAACTGGATAGTGCAAGAGTGGTAAGTCCTTCTCCCACATCCTTCATAATAACTATCCCGATTTTGGTTAAAGGCAGAACGTGTCAAGATTGAAATGGACTGTGTTCCCCTCCAGCAGAGATGGTAAATTTGACCTCTGCGCGATAGTGTTTACTATGGAATGGCAAGTTTTCACCCGAAAGCAGACGACAGCATGACTACCAAGGCTGACACGGACTTATCACTTGACTTTCCAGTGTGAGTAACACGATGCTTGCATAGCATGTTGTGCTCAAGTTTATGACCCCAAGCCATCACCTCAATCTGTCACCCGACGCTTGGGGTTTGCACGAAGTGGATGCGCGGCAAAGTGTGTCATTAGGCCCGTGACCTCAAGGTGATGTTGGCTTGACCCCAGAAAGAAGCGTGTTGGTGCGCTTGAAATAAAATTTTGTCAGGGGACGGAATTGCAAGAGCAATTGGCGACTTCCACTGCGGGTCCGCACAGAAGATTGTGCATTCATCTCCTCACTTTGCAAATAAATTAGGGAGAGGAAACGGTATTTACTTATGTCGTCCCGTAGCAAAGAGTATATTGAGTCTAATGACTTTCAGGAGGGCAAGCGGACAGCAGAAGCCTTACTGGATGCTCAGGATAGGATCAACTCCCTAACCGAGCAACTCAATAGTCGCTCCAACGCGGAGAGTTGGGAGTTACAGAAGGCCATCGCAGATCGCGACAACGCGCTAAACGTGAGTCTCTTCAGCCTGTTGCTCTATCCCCTACTAAATACCATTTCGTGTGACAACAAACCTCCATTTCTGCGGGTGTGGATGCAGTGCGAGATTTCTCATGAGTGGCTTCAAAAGCATGTTGCATGTGCATGTGCACCGCAGGTAATGGAGTGTGCAAGAGGAAAGAGAGAGAACAAGTACAAAAACACCGATTAAGTGGGTGATTGGCACCCGATAGGTTATGTGAAGTCATTAAGGAAAAAACAGGTACAGATCGAATTCGTGGGCTCTTGAAGCCCACGCGCTTTATGAGTTTTACAGAAAGTGCCTTTTTGGCACCGCATGCACCATGGGTCATGAAGGGGCGGGGAATAGTTGTAATGCGCTTCCATAATGTCATAACTGCTACATTAATATTTTCAAAGGCTTGAAACACACTACTGTTTTATTTCCCAGTAGACTTGAGCAGGCGTCGAAAGGCTCGTCATTTGACCAAATTGCCTTCATTTAAACAGTAAAAATAGTCACCACTTAGAAGTAAGACAGTGACTTAATCTCTCACTACTTGATATTTTGTGCAGGAATCACTCTAGCACCAATTAATGGGACTATGGCACAGAAAACAGGGCACTTTGGAGTTTGATCTACCAGCGTCACGTATATGTGACATGTGGTTTATCAGTTCTTAATAGCCGGTTGCACAAAATCGTGTCACGAGTAGATTGATGAAGTTAAAAACAACCAAACCGATGGGATGTATTTCTGGCCTGAGGATAATTGCATTCTTTTTAAGTTTTATGAAAGAAGTGTTTGAATTTAAAAAAGTAATGGCAGCTGGTCTCATAGTGGAGCAATGAAACATCCGGGTAGCCGTAGTGACCAAAATTTCCCCCGTCATCCTGAAGGAGACGATTGACCTCTTGATTTTTGAAGTAGCCGCTACTCTTTTCCGGTCCCGCATTTCCTGTTTCCAGCCTCGCTTCTTGTTAAGTCTATTTCTCGATCAATTTGTCTTAACTGTAGGCTCTGAAAGAGGTCAATTCAGTCGTGGGCAATGGGCCTCGAGTCTCCATAGGTATGGATACCGTGACGCGGTTAGAGGAGATGCAGCAGATCATCCACAGCCTGAAGGAGGACAACAAGAGGCTGACGAAAAAGGTGCAGGACGCACAAGAGGAGTCCTGGTTTAAAAATCTTCGCAATGGACAAAAACTTCTCTTCGACAAAGACAGTACATTGGATACCGAAATGGACAATTTGACCAAGGAAGAGGTAATACCTTGCAGTGAATTTTGCTGCCTACGATTCCCGCATCCTTTTCCAAGGCTCTGTTCAATAGTCACCCCGATGGTTACGAGTCTCAAGGACACAAAAGTAATGTATGAAAAACCCTCTAGAAAGCCCAACAAACGGAAATTTATTCCAAAATCATTCTAAAATACAGAAAAGAAACAAATGGGATAAATTGATCACCATATTCACCCAAACCCACCATCCTAACGTCCAATCTGAGCCTGGAAGTGGCTGGTAAAATAATCTCAAGCTATGAGCTGCGGCACTTGCCTATGCGATCCAGTGGAAGAACTCCTTGTTGTTGCATGAGAATACGCCTTGGCGATTGTCAGGACAATGAGCTCCTTAAAATTAGCCCAACACACACCACTTTTCTTCCTCACTTTACTTTCCATGCAACCTTGTGAGAGCAGTCGGGGCGTCTGCTGAAATGGCCGATTATAGTAGAATAACATTTCTTGACTGAAGATGAATGTCGATTGCCAACGAAAGTATGGCTTTTTTTAATCCCCCATTTGTTGTTGTGATGTGACTTTCTCCACTCAAGTCAAGCACAACTTCTGACTGAGTGCCGTGTACAACCTTTGCACGTGTAGATCCATGGGGAATGGCAGAAGGTAAACGGCAAATCTGTGTTGGCTTTGCCTTTTTAGCACAATGTGCTTGCAATCACGGAAGAGTTGATGTGATTTTATTTTATGTTTCCCTTGTTTTGTGCAATCCTGGTTGCAAATTATACTGCATGCTGTTAGTTCCACCTCCGTTAAACGAGTTTAAATGACGGGCGCTTCACGAATATCACATGCCAGAAAAGATGTTTGTTTGAAGGAACAAATGCGTACATCCACTGTTAATAGTGAAAAAGGTAGAAGGTAGCTATTCGCTAATGCGGCTCGGAAGGCGGCAGACACATTTACAACCAGTGTAGCCTTGTCTGACCCAGGTGACACAAATGCGTGACACGTACTCACTATAGGTGATTGCACTACATTGTGTTTAAAACAACAAAACAAACGTGGATAACTGTTAGTCAGAGTATAACAGGGTGTACTTTAGTTGATTGACATCAATTGAGTTTATTATTTTAATAGAGAATGGGAAATCGTGTGGGATATGAAAGTCGCGTTTCCCATGAGCCTCAGATAACAATTTTAAGTCGATCATAAACTTGTTTTTTAATCATTCTCGGAGAATAACCTCACCATCCACCCTGAAATGCTTCACCCACGGAAGCTGCCTTGATTGGCTTTTGATGCACGCTACACATACGTCTTTTGGGGAGGCATCCACCTAAAAAATGGCTTAATTCAATGGCTAACTTCGTTGTTTTTAGGTTGTTGATCTGCTGACGCAAGAGAAACACGCAAATAACGAACTGCGCAACTACCTAAGCACACTCCTTGAAAAGATTGTGCTGAAACACCCCGATCTGCTTGAGAGCAAGTAGTCCTGGCATTTCATCTGCGCCTCTCGTGTCGTAAGGATAGGACGTTCATGCGCATCCTCTCCTCCCCTCTCCCATCCGCCACCCCCTTCGCCATTTCCCTCGTGTTTTTACCTCCATAACTAGAGCACACACTTAATTGGGCTTTCCTATTTTTTGTTTTGTTTATTTCCGTATTTTAAGAGTGTGTGTGTGTGAGTGCGTGCATGGATAGATGGTCTGCCTCAGTCACCCACTCACTTGAAGATGAGGTGGGAGAGACAGCCGCCCCGCTTCACGTGGATCACCAAGATGTGTAACGCCTTGAATATCATTGAAGTATAACATGTATGCATCCTAATACGATACTTCTCTCCATTCTTGTACATTTTCGATATGCCAAATAGGCTGGGCTGTCTCGACACCGCCACGTCGTCTACATGAGTACCTAGGGGCGTTTTCAATCGCGCCTGCGTCTGGTGCACGATCTCATTGCTAGAAGTGGGTTGTGTAAGCTACAAAGTGAACTAAAAGAAGTTGAACTGTGTGATTATCATCTCCCACTCCATTTATTGGTCACCTATCTATTTAATAAGGGGCAAAATGGGAAGCAATCAAAATTGCCACTTGTCACTCATTGTCGATTGTTGACCGCAAGTCAAATCATACAACTGGCGCTTCAAATGCCCTTTTATAACATCGAATGAAGTGAGAGGGTCTTGCACATCACATCTATTGACAAGTCATTTAACTTGAACTGCATCACATTCACCTCTTGTCCAGTTGTGATGGCCCTCAAGCAACCGTCCAATCCTATGCAGTTGGGCTAAATGGTGTTTGCCATTTGAATGTTTCCTTAAAATTTAGTAAACCATATTTTACTACCCGGACATCAATGAGTTGCACATCGACCATCGAAAGAATTACTCAAACACATTCTAGGCACAGACTGCCTCGGAGAAGGGAAAGACGCTAAAGCAAGTCGGAGTAAAACATGGCAGTATTCAAGTTCTCATAGAAGCAAGAAATGGAGCAGGTGAAAAGCCACGGTCTGCTGAATTCACGTATGACACAGAAATTTAGTGAGAGTACTTTTATCACAACACATGCCTGTTTTCTTTGTGTATACAGATTTTTAACAGTGGATAAGCACCGTTCCACGTGACCGACGTCCCACTGTAGCAGTGTGCATCACCCACCACTTGACTTTACCCAGTCCCTAATTTCTCTGCTAAATTTGCACGTTGGATAACTTTAAAATGAGGAAAGACTTAACGCAGCTTAAAGGTATTTCGACCTGTGACTGATGAAACAGTCCGACTGCTGTTGGCCAGGAAGCACTGGGGAGTCCAGACTCCGAATTGACCTCGAACTGACCGCCACGTCAAGCGCGCCGATCAAGGCAAGATACATTCACAACCACAAGTAACACGAAACAAAAAAATCAGAATACGCGCATACTTCATCAATGAAAAAACGCACTAGAACATAAAATGCTCCACTATTAAACTAACTCCGTTCATTTTCCTTCTTTACCAACCGCAGTTTCGAATCGTACCTCGCAATAACCTCACAGAATGCCACGGTACAAAGGTAGGTGGCAGTCATAGTAGGGATTGAAGTAAAAATTAGCTTTACACAGGTGCCTAAAGCGAAAGAAAGCTTGATCTGCCATTGGTGAAACTAAGTAAAAGCAATTTATAAGTCAGAGCTGAGAAAGAAATTTAACTACTATCAAAACAACCGCAAACAAATTTGCCCCTTTTCACGTGAAACAAACACCGGCGCGACTTAGGCCCTCTTTGAAGTTTACAGTTAAATGAAAAACCTAGAAAGTAGACAAGTGGTTTACTCATGTTGTTTGAGAGCTCAAAGCAGTAACATTGTCTGAGTAATAGAGCAGAGCAATAAAACTAACATACCTCAAGTGTCGGAAGCAAAGTAAATGTGTGACAGACAAGAATATTAGAGTGAACTAAAAAATCATGCACTGACCGTTGAGACGATAGCTGCCTATGTCCAACAACCCGATTCTGCTACTTGGACTTGTCATAATTATGTGACATGGGCTCTTTGTCCACTTATTTTAAAGTGTCGCAACCCAGTTGGTTGATTTTAAAACACCTGCTCGCAGTCAGAGGATAAGCATGCTGTGTTGCTTTTGGGCAGCAGCTGAATCTGTCAACCCGCTGGTGCCGCAGTAGAGCAAATAAACATCTCAACTTATACCGATTCTCCCCTGAAATTCTGGTAGCAAATACCTTAAAAGAATTTCAACGACAACTCAAGAGACCCCTATGCCTTAGAGACAAACAACAGGGGCTCCTCCACTTTTGAAGCCGTACATGGGCTATTACAGGGTTAATTGAGTCAAAAAATCACTGACTTAGTTGACAATGAAGCAAAACGTGAAGAATAAGAAAGCCCAAAAATTCACTAAAGCAAACATGCGACACTTACCGTATCCAACCCATCGACTCTAATCAGAGTGGATGATTAAGATGGTGCTATTAAAAACACAATGGTAGTCGGTAAGACGAGGTTCTGAGAAAATAATATACCACACCCGCCTAGCGCCTAATGGACTGTTAAGTATTTCCATAAAATAAATTACTGAGAGTGTCAATAACATCAGATAATGGTATATGGATGAGCCAACATTGGAAAAGCAGTTCGAATGCAGTAAAATGAGCAAAACAGTAACACTATCTTCAGGGCGTGATACTCTTAAATTTGTCGAAGCTCGTCTCCATATCGAACAAGAGTTGTCGACCCTGAGTGGGTGATAGCTCTTCTGATGCATCCATCGGTTCCATGACATCAAGCCTACAGAAAAGCACAAGTAGTCATGATATATCCTCATCTACTGCGACATGAAGGGATTAATGACGCTAAAAAGAGGCCCTGCTCAAAGAAGCTTTGCTCAACATCAGTTCAATTGAAAAAAAGACCCATTGCAACGTAGCTGGGTAACGGTACATCAGGCACCAAAATAACGTCACTTCTTCCCTTTAGAGGCCTTATTTTTTATCAAAATGAAGTAAATGAAAAGGTGACATTTAAAAGCGAACGGTAACCCAGAGGAGTAAACAGCTATGAAAGAGCACATATTAAGAGAGAAATTTGATGAAATTTAGGTGCATTTCTTTTTGCCGAAATGGCCTACAGGCTGCCTGAGTGACAAACATAGTGTAAAATTGGAATAAATACCAAAAAGTATTATCATAATTATCCTCAGTAATGCTCACACCACTGGTAGTGTGACAATCATGCTTGATCACATGACTCCTTGGTAAGAGCACAAGGTGATTCTTCATGTACTCCACACCGCTGCACAGTAGCCTCCGCGTTAAACTACACTCAAGAGATTGGAGAATTTGTGATGAACACAGTGGCAAACTGTTGCAAAGCTCTGTGCAAGTACTAAAAAAGAGAACTTTTGCGACTCGTGGAACTTTGCATCATGCACCCAGAACTATTTTTCCCCATTTCATGCCCGATAACAGCACAATGTGCGCCATGGAGAAGTTAAGGTGGTAAACATAATTTACACAGTAAAAAGCATTATTTCTAAAGCGTAGTATTAACGCCTCTAGGAGAGGTTCTTCTAGCAAGAGAGTAAAGTAGACGTCGACAGGTAAACACGCCCTACTTAATTCAATAGAGTAGAGGGTCCGCTCACCAAATTAACAAAGCAAAAATGCAGCATTAAGACGTATATTTGTAAGAAACTCACCAGTGCTTTATTCTCTTCTTGCCATCAAAGTCGGAAGGGATGAAGGAGAGGCCGTGCATACACTCCCAGAGATTGCGAATATCGGGCTGAATCTAAAATACCCCAGGCATAGCATTATCACAGTAGCCTCCAGACGATAATATTAACAGAAACTACTGCGAGTGCGGTATTTAACAATGATACTAAGTGGCACTCGCTTAGAAAGCTTGTAACAATCAGCATGCAATCATTCATACAGGCTTACTTAGGAAAGCGTGGCGAAGCAATTGCCAGCTAGTCGGATTGGCTATTTAGGAGGTAAAATAACACCGAAGCGACGTACCTGGTCCTTAGCTAATTGATCCATGTTTAGTCTGTCGATAGTGGTGATAAACAGCTACAGAGAAAAAGATGAGTGACACTGAGGAGTAAAGAAACAACGCGAATAAGCCTGGTGTTAAATACGACACAGCACAGTACCTCGGTACAGCGAATGAGAAGCTTTTTGTCACGATCTTCAATGGTGAGGCCTTCGTTGATGACTTTCAAGGCGCCAGGGCAATCCATCTAGCCAAAATACAAATGCGTAATATTTCTAAATGAACAAGATGACAAATAGATTGGTTTTGAAGGAAGGAAACGGGAGAAAGCAATGAAACGTTTACCTTGTATTTTTCCACAAATGACTCCACAGTCGAAAATTCGCTTTTGACTAACGAAAAAGCCCCTTTGAATTGGGATAATAACTTCCGACACGAAGTGGCATACCTAAAAAGTTGCAAAGCTAAAATTTGAGGACAGTACAAACATTTGTTTAAGTAATATATTCCATTTTTCAAAAACTCAATCATTTGCAGAAACTAACGTTGTCAAAGAACTGTTAAGCATATACATACATAAAAGCGGTAGTAGTTTCAATTCACGAAGTCAGTCAATAGAAACGCAAATGGGGGGACCTCAGGTAAAAGACCAAAAGGAATAAAGTCTAACAAATTGCAAAAAAATTAAAAGCAATCAGCAAAAACTTACTCTTCTTCCTTGATACAATCTTTAATATAGGCCTTTTGAAGAAACTGAAGCGTATTGATGAGGGCGTAGACTTCTGCAAGATTGCGGATTCTGCAATTATTGAAAAATGCACGTTACAAGAGTCTGCGTAAGAAATAATGAAGGCAAGAGCATCCAAAGTAAGTTAAAAGAAAGTAGCCAGTTTCAACAATACGCACAACTTCAAAGCTTATCAGTAGGATGAAAGGATGCAGGTAACAGCGCTGAGTTTCTAAAACATTTTAAAACCAAACTAGCACAGCAAACTCAATGTAAAATTAGGCGGATTAGCACCAGAGGTAGTAATTACGGCTAAGATGCGCCCATTTGACCAAGCGGTAGGAATGAGTAAGTACATTAAATGTATTCGGATAACTATGAAACAAGTGCTCACTTCTCCCGTTCGCTAGGTGTTTTCCATAGCTGCACTTCCTAGATACCATAGTTGCACTAAAAATGCTAGGATTTACCTCATACAAGTTCGCCATCGACGCCGAACGGTCAGATTACTAACAGCCAGCGAAAGTTTGAAGGGGTTGCAGGCTTGGGTAGATATACTAAACAAAAACAACAAATTGGGACAACAAAAAAAGCAAAAAAATGGGACATTTTGCTTCAACTTTTTTTGTTGGTCGTGTCCATGGCAAAAATTTCTACGAACAACAATAAGCTACTGAAGTACAGCACTAGGACCTCAAAACATTTATAAGGCTATGCATTACCACGCATAATTTCAGCTTTTAAATCTTTTGTTATTAAATTACTTTGCTTTTGAGTTGTGCAATGCACATTGTACATATTTTAAATGCACATATTTGCAAGCCCTTTAAAGTACGACTTCCTATATGTGCAAATAATTTCAACAATACTTACAGCGTTTAATTGTACAAAAAAATTAAAGTTTTATAAATATATAACTCTAATAACTGACTGGGCTCAAAAGTTATTACCCCAGGCAGCATCCTCCCAGCCACTGAGTTCTATTAAGCAAAATCGCAGTGATTTACTCAGAAAGACACCCCTTTAAAAGCATTTTCGTGTGTAGGCATTTTTCTTATTTTCCCGTCCTTTGTTAAGACGATTTGCATCACAGAACAGGGGAGACGCCGGCGTGTACCGGTGTGGCCCGAAAGATTTACCACCAATGTAACTGCAAGGGGGAGTCCTTTAGCACACACAAAACTGGAAACGCGAGGCCAAACAATACGTCTTAGCAAAATATAAAGTATATATTTACTTTTTAAAAATCAGGAATTCTTTTCAAATAAGCTTATGTATTATAGGATCATATCCTATGTCTAATCGCCTTGAATGGGGAATAATGCTCGCTAGTCTTACATTACTTTGTCTATTTTGGGGGGGAAAATTATTTTTTAACGTGATTTCAGCACTCTTTTTCGGTTGAACAATTCATGCATGACCCTGGCTCGCTTGCAGTAGGGCCTTTTGTTACGTTGATGTAGGTTGTCGCTGGCTAAATTGGTTGCGACTTGGTTTCATGCGTTAAGCCCATTTTGTGATAATACATCTCTAGTCCCTCCTGCAGTTTTGTCTATCTGATCAGTGGTCTTACTTTTGATGAAAATTTTACCTACAAGCAGGATTCCTTAAACATTTGCCCTCACTCCCTCAATTCATCTATGAGACTGATTAAACATTTTGGGAAAGGCTACATTTTGTCGTATGTACTCATCCCCTATTCGAAATCTGATGCAAAATCTTTGACTCCTATTCCAATAACTAGTGCAGTCAGGCTTTATGTGTATCGACTTTAGCTTCACTTTTCTTCCTTTTATGTAGTGTACACCCGTAATGCCTCACTTTTAATGTCATCGCGGCGCTTAGCGGATCTGATGCATCGCAAACAAGAAGAATTCGACGATGTCTTGAATTCCTTGACGTTCTCTTCTACCGCAGAAAATGACATAGGTGGCCTTGATGCGGCGCTGCAACGATTTGCTGAGCAAAAAGCCGAAGCATCTATGAAACGTCGAGGTCCGGTAAGAATATAATATGTATTTTATCGAGTATTGGACTCCTACCATCTAGTTTTAAAAGGACTCATAGTTTGCATTTAATCCGTGTAAATCAGATTCGCTCATCTGTACTTGTATATATAATTGTTCTTAAGGAAGTTTTGCCTTATTCCGTAGATTCAGGGTATCCCTGATGACGATCCTGAACCCATCCAGTTTGAACTGGCTGAAGATATTGTGGCGTCAACCGAAAACTTCTTTTATGATGCCGATTCTCCCTGCATTCTACCCAGTTCTACACCTTCACATATCAATGAGGAGGAGTTTGTTTTGCAGTCCAGACGCAAACATTCCCTGGGAGTTGAAGTGCCGTAAGCACATGTTGTTTTTTCCTAATTAGCTATTTCTTAAATCTTTTTAAGCTGTCTTTGAGACTTCTTCGTAACTGTCAAAGCCCTCCATCATAATCATTTGTGAAAAGGATTAAGTATTTTCTCTTTTTCGTGATTTTTGTGCTATTCTTTTTCGGTCTAATCATGAGGTTTATTCGAGTTTTTGGTGTTTTATTAGTCGTTAGAAATATGGGTACCCAAGTCTAAACTTTTCTCTGTTGATAATCAATTGGATGTGGCATTCTTTTCTGGATTCCCTGCGTCGAATCCAGTGGTGATGCTTATTCGATTTGAATAAGAAGTTACTGTGTAGCTTTGGGGCTAGGGCTAGAGTGCTGCTTAGTGCAGTCATATCTACTTCTTCTTTTTACCTCAAAGAGTGTCAAAACTAATTCGATTGGTGCCTTTTAATCTAGTTAAGCCCTCAAATTGTTGAGAGAGCGGCTTCTGGACGAAAAATTAATAAAATGGTCGGCCATTTTTCAACCCGTTTCAACCGCAGGGTCGTGTCGCATCAGTTTCCAACGTCAGGACTGTTTCTCAATTGGACATAGCATAGCACTTGAGGCCACACCTCTTATCTTGTTTCTCTGACACCGATGCTGTGTATTTGTTCAAGTTCCTTCGCACATTGATGCCAGTCCGCTCTCCGGAGTCGTTGAAGCATCATGCTGATGGGCAGTAGTTATTTCCGCCACGTGGCAGTTCGGGTGTTTTGACACAACAATAAATAGCGCTTAATTTTGATTACTGGTAATTTTCACGACAAATGGTCAACTTCCTGGAAAACTAATCTGAGCTATCTTTAAAGTCCTATCTTTTTGTAGAGTTTCTAAACTATCTTATGGTTGTGACGTTGCTATAACCACACAACGATTGTTCTCCTCGTGACACTTCAAAACATCTATAGCGGTCGTAACGAGGGTCAGTTCATGTCCTGACAGCGTTTATTCTATCGATGAGTAGAGAGTGTGTTCTTTGCTTTTTTCCAGTTCACATAGACTTAGCTGAAATCAGTGCTGTGTTGTTTTTGAAAATGGTCGTAGTATCTTCATCACCATCATCATCGTATGCATCTGTTATGTGCTTTGAACAAAAGAATGCGGGCTTTTTTAGTTGCCATAGCAGAAGACTTTTTACTGCCCTCGTAACTTTCAACTTCCCTTGGTCATATTTCCCTTTCATGCACCCTCAAGCCATTTTTGCACATCGTTTTACACTTTCCTGTGCCGTTTCGCTCAACCCTAGTGATTTTGTTATTTGCCAATAGGAATGGTTTACTGACACTAATCTTTAAGCGTCATTGCAATTAAAAAAATGTCACATGACTGTTGTGGCTAGGTTCGGAGCAAGTGGTGCATTTGTTTCTTTGTAAATTACACGAACAGATTCATCGAGTACGGGCAGACTCTGGGTACATCAATAATTTTTACATGGACTACCCCGCTCTGAATTACAGGGAGTAACTGCAAAATTGAAACCTCTTATTCACTTCAATAAGCCATACCATTACGGCGCTATGTTTATTAGTAGCGGACGAAATGCAGAGAGCCGGTTGTCTCGCCATTGAGCGGAAGTGAAACTCACGAAGTCTATGGGCCCATGCAATTGAATCTACAGTTAATCAAGGCATCAAACCACTACAGTTCGTGGCCTAATACTTGGAAATCTCGCGCATAATTTTTTCAACTTACCTTTTGTACCAAACGAGTGGACGAATAATGATGGATCTGGACAATACCAAAAAAGAAAGCTCTTGCTCAGCGAATTTGTGTTTTGTTCCTGTAAGGCAGTTTACAGTATCCACGCAGCACTTCTTGGAGAATGCTCAGCACGGGGAAATTATGGGTGACGAAAGCTAAATAACCCTTCTCCAGCAAATTAAGAATTGTTATAGAGATTATGTTGACCAATTGCTTAGAGAATCATTGTAAGCGACATGAAATGCGCTTGGCATGATCCAAGTCCTACAAGTGCTTTCATCTAAAGAGTATTTTCTTTAATGAGTTTTTCTCAGAGTAAAGCAGAGGATTTTTTCCTGCTTACGAAAATTGGGAAAGAAAGTCGAGCTCCACACTTCTGGTGCTTTATTTATAATTTGATACCATTGCTTACTTTGCCAAACTATCCGCTTTAACTGCTACTCATAAACTAGAAAAAGGTGTATGTTTGTCTCCATTTCAAGGGCACTCTAACGTTATTGTCGTAAACTCAACCAGTCCGTTTTCACCTTCTATTTGGATGCTATTAGCTATCGCAAATTGACAGAGTACGTATGCCGCACATACGTGACGTCGGGATGTTAATAGAGTTTTGCCTATTTCATTGTGCATGAAAGTTGGGCATAGTCCCAAAATTGTGAACCCATAAATTAATGCTGGACTACGGCTTTGCAAATATGCTTTGTTTTGCAAAGGACTTCAAGCACACTCAGCTGCAGCACGACATATGGCGGGATGTTACGGGCTCTTTGAAGACGACCATACATCCGTCGGTGACGATCTTGGGTGTGGTGGCTCCCAGCTCGCAGATAAATCATCCACCCCCATCACATTCAGCCGGCGCGTAAAGCGTCCAATTCTGAATGCTTGAAAAATGCGCGATGTGTCTTGAAATTGCATGGGACATGTTGCAGTTGTGAATATGACACGACTGTTTACAAATATTTTCAATTTCGGAACGTTAGTGCACACTGGCTATCCTAGAATGATTCAGGCCCGCTGACAAGTCTTCGTATGTTGAAGCTGCTTTGGAGGTAGTGGATAGAAGCTGAGCGGATAAATAAATGGATCCGAAAACCCTGTGTGTTGATACAAGTGCAGTATCCACTTCTAAAAATTTCCTTTTTGAAACTCCGATGCCTTAGTCTTGAACTTCCCTCTTAATACCAGCTGCGGTGATGTGTGGCCTCCTTTGTCATTTTCACCTGTGCTTTCAAGGAGTCCGTTAAGAGCATGCAGTCGTCAACAGAATGGTGGTCACAATGCAGAACTGCCCGCGTCGACAGGTTTTAGGGACTTGCGACTGCGGCGTTGGCGCCATCGACGTCGCACCGTCTCACTGATGGAGAGCAGTGGTGAGGCTCATAGTCTCCGCGTCTTCGTTTACCTCTCGCCGGTCGACATTCTCACCTATCTTCAGCGGCCCTTCCGTCGTTCTCTCCGCAACACCCCCGACTCCACCGACCCTGCTGCCTCCGCCGCTGTCTCCCTCCCCGATGTTCGCGTGGAGAATGGGTCTCTGCACTTTAAGTGCTGGGCTCCCTCCAGTTTGGTGGGTTTTTGCAATTTGGTTCACTTTGTTAGCTCTGAGTGTTGGAGCGATTGAAAGTGACATGATCGGAGCCACTCACGCCACCATGGTTACCTCAACTTGACGCAATAAATTGACGCGTTTTTTAATAATCTTATCATTTTGCTTTAAATGTTATGAAAAATTGGTCAGTCGTAAATGTTATGTCCTTTAAGTTAACCTACAGAAAATTTGTTCTTGTTCACCATTTCGGTCTACAATCTATGATTTTCCCCAATCAAGCATAAGCTCTGCAAGTTGCTCAAGAAACGGTAAATCCTGCCCCAGACACCACCGTTTATGCCTCGCTTTACTTTCCAACTATGTTCTCTATTTCGCATATGATCATGCGATCATCAAGTGCTGATTTTAATAATAAAAGGGGAAAGTTGTTACTCGATAAAACACTATCTCGGAAATGTGGAGGATAAAGATAAGGAATGATGAGGTTAAGCCAGTATCTCCGTTCCTCCCTCCCACCCTAACTAAAGTAAACATCGCCTCACGTATGAATTTTGCAGCAGTGTGAAGTCCTGTGCTGCCTTGATCTAATAAGATTGGAGCTTTCTCCTAAGAAGAGGCAAAAAATGTCTTTAAATCGCATGACACGATTATTCACAATGATTTGCAATTTTGGAGAGCTAGTTACACACTGCGTATCCTAGAATGATTCAGGCCTACTGACAAATTTTAGTATGTGGAGGCTGCTTTGGGGGTAAACAGAGCTAAGTGCGTAAATAAATGTGTATCAGAAGGTCGTGTGTGGCGGAATACACGTAGTCGTATTCACTTCCTAAAATTTGCTTTCTTTTTACAAACTCAACTGTCTTACACCTGAACGCTCTCGTTGCTCCCTTATGAATGTGTAGGAATTTGGGTTGCATAGCCAGAGCTTCAAGTCGTCTGATTAGAAGTATACTCGAACGAGACTAGTTAAGTACGCCTAATACGATAGGTATTTAATATGCCTTACAAGTAAGGAAATATAAGACTGGCTCACTCATCTAATGCCACAAATCACGGCTCCTACGGCCATCAATTTATCCAACCTTTTTTGCGTTCAGGTGTGTTCACCAAACCCCACCGGTTTGGACCTTGGGGGAGTTAACCGTGTGGTTGAATCTCAACCACGAACGCACAACACAACAAAGAAACCGAGAGAAGCAGAAGGGAAGAGAGACGTGCTGATGGTACCGGAGGCCGAGAGACTCGATAATGGGTTCGAGGCTGCAGAAGAAAAACAGGTCAGATGGCGTAGGAAAGAGCCTCAAAAAGACAACACCGTCTCTGCCGTGTCACATGAGGTGGAGGGCGTCTCATCGACTCTACGGGATGCAGAGACAGCCAGTATGGCACCGACAATCCTTTCAGTCAGCGAACCATTCGGAACGGAGTCTCCAGGGCTGACTTCTTCGCAGCCACCACCGTCACAACCTCCGTCGAAACCGAAAAGGGCAAAAAGGTCAAAACCTAGATTCTCCATGTTCAGGTAAGGGCTTTCTCATTCTATTTTTTGATGCGCTTTCTGTTTGGATTGATGCCATTTTTATGGACTTACCGAGATGTTTTAGCTAGAATTCCTCCTTGTTCTTTCACTCATTGTCATTGCACTCGGTTGAAAAACAGACCAAAATTATGTACTAGATGTGATCCAGTTTACATCAAAATCATTGTATTCCCTTGATTTGGGGAAGGTGAGTGCACCGATCATGTCAGAAGTTGCATTCTCCCTACTGCGTTGTTCTTATTTCTTTGATACTTTAATTTCTACACTTACATGGTTCCATCTTCATAATTTTATGTACGTAAGTATTGCTAAGTCTACTTTAAGTGTATTCATCCATTTATCTACCCATTCACCCATGCATCATACCTTGTTCTCACTTGACAGACTATATATGTTCGGTGGTGTTCTGGTGGCTCTTCTATCCTGCTGTTGGTTGCTCTCTCTCTCACCCTTCCTCTGGGGCGCAGTTGTGGGCAGTTTCGTGACTTATTGTGTCCTTCGTCTCTACCACCTTGCCATGGCCTTCCTCTACTACCCCTCCGAACGCTACCGCTGCTGCTTCACCGGCGCCTCACCAGGCGCGACTTGTTGCAGCCTACACAACTCTCTCCTCTCCGCTTGGCGACCGCCCTACGCGGGTCCCCTGGTGCTTCCGCAGCTGCGCGATCTGCAGGCCCCGCCAGTACCCCAACTGGCCGATGAGGACCTGCGATCTGGGCCCTCAAGTGGCCCTCTGGGTGAGTGTCTCGGCTACAAGCTGGACAAACACAATCGGCCGATCTACAGGGCCTGGATGAATGAGGTACGGGCTCCTCAAGCGTTAATGTGGTTTCAGTGTTCCTGCTTTTGTGTATCTTGGCAAATACATCCGCCTATGGCGGGTGGCTTCCCTCTGTAGCTCTTTAATTTACTACCCAACCAGTGAATACTGTACTGCGCTATGAAGACTGCATGAAGGAATTGGATTGGTCGTTAATATGAATGACAAGAATAGAATACTAAAGGGTCAGAGTGGTTAACTTCACAATTGAAACGTTTTTCATTGCGCTACTTTACTGCGTAGTCCTCTTCTTGTTCTCTGTGTGTCGTTCCATTGCTGCCTGTGGTTACTCTTCCGTTTAGATTAACTTAAATTATCTTTAATGCAGAAACGAAGATGACAATGTGAATTAACATCCCAGTGTACCTTTTTCATGGTAGTGCACGTCGTGGATTCAAATGGGCTTTTTAAATTAACACACCCTCTCCTCTACTTGGCTAAAAAGGCTGAATATTCCATAGCAAGTAACTGTTTTCATTAGGGGCATTTGACAGGAAGCGGTTTAATCAATCCCACATTACCAGTGTAGGGAGGAGCTAAATGCGATTTAATCAAGGGTCACATGGTGAACCTTTTCATGTCAGCAAAGTGCCACGCATGACCGATACGATTAAATAAACCTTCTTACTGAGGTATTGCTAGTACAAATAAAAGGTATGCGGTGTTTATTTTGGCCTGTTGCTCCCTTCCCTGTCCCCCATAGTACGATTTTTCGTCAGTTCTCGAAGACGAATTAGGTTGTCGCTGGAAGTGGTGCGTGCTCGTTTCTAGTCACCTTACAATCTGACTTTTGGATCAGAGCTGTAATGCACTCCATTTCGCATCGTGCCATCCTTGACTCTTTCGATTGGTCATTTCTACAATTAGTTGATCATGGTTTTGCTGTTAAATGGGCTGTCAAACCTAAACCATTAAGCGAAAGTTTGTCGTTTGTCAAAGTCTTGCCCAACACAACAATTGTTTTTTTGGCCTTTATCAAGTATGTTGTAGCACCCTGAGGCCTCTCTGCAGGCGAAGGAAGAAATGCTACTCGAGCAAAATATGTGTTGTCGACCTACAATAGGGCTCGGGGCTATTGGCATAGTTTGGACGTCATGCCGCCGGAGAAGGTACAATACGAGGCTCCCAAGTGGCCAGTCACCGAATCCAATAGTTAAATAAACAATTAATATTAAAATATGTACGTGTATGTTTTTGATGTGCTGTTTTAAGCTTGGCAACCAACTCCATCTCCATTAGTAAAGTTAGAATCGCTTTTCGGCGCTCAATGAGACTCGTCACTCTTTAATTGACGTTTGGATTTATGCCCTAAATCCTACCAACCTGCATACCTATCATTTCTTCGCAATTGCTTGTCTTTATGGGCTACGAGTGAGTGGAACCTTTTGATCTCACTGCGAGGCATTTCATTTTGTAGCACTCGACTCATTTTCGTCGCTTCCGTCGGCCAAAGTTAATCTATCATTTCTTCAGTAAGTGGTTTTAATGCGGGGATGCTAGCCCCATTTTATTTGTCCTCCCGGTATGTCGTGCTAGAGGACATTTCACTCCTAAATTCCTGAAATGCAAATTTGTCGTGTTTACAAATTCTGTCCAATCAGATTCGAAGGTTGATTGCCTCTTCGAGGTTAGGGTCAAATTTTGTTGTCACTGAATGCTAAAATGGGTCATGCCTTATCCATCTACTTTCTGTTGAAGTTGTGTAGAAATATTCTTCCATCTGGACATGTTTTGGTACCTTCAAAAAGTGCAATTTTTGACCCTAAGGATAGTAAACCGTCGCTTCAGAGAATCTCACAATGGAATCTTTGAAGTCAAAGATGAAGTGTCTCATTCTACAGCATTCAAATCATTTTTACCGCTTTTTGTTCTTTGATTTCGTGAGCGGAATTCTCCTCCAAGAGCCAACTTTAATACGGGTGCGGTGCTCTGATGGTGGTGCTAAATGTTTTGCCAATCTCAAGACGTTGTTATTATATATTAATAATAAGTAAAGCCGTTGGTTCAACGAATTGTAGCTACTTTTGAGGGGGATGTGAGAATCGCATCTCACCTACCTGTATCTCTCCCTCTCACCCACTGACAGATTGTCTCCTACTCGCCGGATACCTATCACATCAACAGCACACACTCGGTGTTTGTGACACTGGAGGGGACTCACCTGCGTATCCAACGTCCCCGAAAAAACGTTCCCCGACGCGCCATGTTCAATGTGCCGGTGCCGCCGAGCTGCGGAGTGCAGTTCATACATCAACGCATCTATGATATGCGCAAGGTCACCGTCTCCCTCCTGCCCCGTGGTCTTATAGAGAAGCGGTTATGGAGCAAGAAGTATCCCATCTGTCTCACCGTAAAAAATGAGCGGGTAGGCTCTCAGTCCGTTCCTTGACCTTTACTTTCTTTTTTGGGTCAAAATTATTTCCCATCTTGAGTCACACACTGTGCATTCCGGTGGCAGTCTTAACAACTTTCCTACCACTACCGCATGCACATGATGCTCCAACTTTCGTATGTGAACGCGACTGCCACAAATACTTGAAATACATTCTTTTTTAGCAGTTAATCATAACTACTAGTAGCACCAAATCGTGTATCAACTGAAATAATGAAGCAGACGTAGGACATTTTCGACCTAGAGTTAATTCTACTCTTCATTTTTCAGGTGGCATGTACAGTGAGCAAAAACGTGACTTGTCACTGGGGCCATATTGGAGTAATGTAACAATTAGGCGGCTGTAGTGGTCAAATCGTTTTTTTAGTAACGAAAGTGTTATTGTGTGCCTCTACCATGGCTTTTGTTCTTATCCTTACCGAAAAGTGCTATTAGGCGGCTTGCCAATTCTCAGCCATTAAATGTAAGATTGCATCTTCTAACAACTGACTTCAGTAATCTGGCTGGTTTGTCGGTTTGCTTTATAAAAAACGAGTCAGTGCAGCAGCAAAACCCAGCTCCTCCATGATGAGGTAAGTAAATTCTTCTAGCGTCAAGTGGAACTGATTAAGCCCTGCCTGTCTACTTACTGTCTAGATGTTTTCCGAAATCCAAATTCCCAATAATTCGACATAAAGTGTTAATATGCATTCGTCTCTGGGGTGTGGTGTTTTGCAATGTAACCTTTAAGATCACAGATGAGGTGCCTCGTTTTACGCCTTGAAATTCGACTTACAACTATCAGTTAAAAGCCGCTTGTATCAAGTTCACGGATTCCACTTTACCTTGGTACCTTTGACCATTTTTCATTATACGTCACAGCCATCTCTTCTTCATTTTCACTTTATTCTGCCGATACTTTGCAATGGATTGTAAAAAGGTGATAGCTTCGTGAACAACTAGCATTAATGAGTAAATTGCCTTTCCAAGGTTGTATAACCCCAAAATTGAGTTTCTTTTCTTGCTGGTTCCATAACAGTTATCGCTATCGTGAATTGTAGAATGCACCACCAGTCACTTTGGAGGACAACAGTTGCAATGTCATACCCTCCAAGGTAGTTGCAAGATCCCGAGCGCAGCCTTTGCGTAGTCCTTCAACCTATGGATTTGTCACGATGCCAGACCACGATGAGGCGCTTTCAAAGGCATCAGTGCCATCTTTTCCGGATGACGGCTCGGCCTACTCTGTCTCCACCAGTCGTTTTCTTCGTGTTTCCACCAGCCCCGGTATCGTTTCCGGCAATGCGATGATGGAGAATGTGGCCTCGCCACTGCAGGATCCTCCCGAAGACTTTCTCCTTGTTCGGCACTCCGATTTGGACGAGAAGATCTACCTCTTTGCACGGACCTGTCGCGAAAAGGAGGCGTGGTTCCGACGCCTCAGAGGCGCCTCCATTGGGAGACCACTTCTAACCACCACTCAGCAGGCAAGCCGCTATTCTCATCGTTCTTTGACATTTGCTTTGTTCTCAAATTGGGATGTTTTATCAATGGCACAGAAATCCGATCCTCCCTCTTCCTTTAAGTCATCCTCTTACCTTTCTTGCAGTCATCCACAAGCAAAGCATGCACGAAGGGCGTTTAAATCTAATGAAGGCATAAGAGATTATAAGAGAAGAACAATTTTTACGTAGTGGATACACCACTTATTCCTACACACACGGTTCTCGAACACATTTATTTATTCACTTACCTCAGCTTCAACCCACTACCTCCAAAGCAGCTTTGACATACAAAGACTTGTCAGTAAGCTTGAATCACTTTAGGATAGCCAGTGTGTACTAACTTTCCAAAATTGTGAGTCTTTCGGAACAATCGTGTCATGTTTACCGTTGCAACAGAAAGATCTATGTCTTACCTAATCTCACGACGGATTATGCAATGCTCAAGCAAGTAACACGTTTGTAAATATTGCCTCTTCTCTCTTCTTTTCGTTCAAGCAACGTCTCTACTTTCCTCGCAGCGTTTTTGTGTGCCATTCGGCTCTAACGCACAAAGCATTTATTATTGCCTCGGCAAGCTACAAATGTCTAGGCCGCCTTGTTCTTGGTGTGTGCTTTATTACACAATCGAGTAGTGTTGATCTACACACGCGCTTAATTTTCCTGTTGCCATCGTTCAAGTAAATTTTTGCCTTTTAAAACAAAAGAAAACCCGCTTACTTGCTTAATGGAGCGATAATGAACCGCACTTTCATCACACACCTATACGTGGGCCTTGATCTTCTGTAGGCATTCAAGCAATTACTGACGCCGAGCACATCCGCGATGAAGGCATCCGCTTCCTCACCATCGGTGCGAACTAGCTCTTCCTCCACAGATGTTACCACGGTAGCAGACTCATCTGCCACTGTGGAGGAGGGGGCGGCCACCGCTTCCTCAGTCGGCCTCCGTCACTGCCCCTCATGTACCTCAGCTTGCGATTCCGACGCTGAACTGCAGATGGCGTACCTGCGCCACATGGCCAAATTCATGCCTGCCTCGTGGCTTCTGCGCGCCAGCCAGGCGTTGAAGTTGAACCTCAATTACGTGAGCTGTGACAGCCAGGTGCCGTGGCTTAACGCCCTCATCGGACGTCTATTTTGGGATTTCTTACGACACGAACTCTGGCTCAAACGTGTGCAAGAGAAGATACAGGGGAAATTGAAGAAACTTCATGTTAGTTCATCTCTTGCTATCGAAAATCCTCTTTCAACTTTCATGATGACTAGGCGGGTTTTGTGACCTAGATCCCTGTCAGAGATTCTCATCACCCTATGAAACATGCATTCTTCTATTTTGACTTGCTCATTGATTCCAGTCTGTAAACAGGGGGGACGTTTGAAAATAGCATATTTTTTAACTCATAGAAAAGGCTATTTTGATGGTTACTAGGCTGTGACCACTGCTACTACTATATGGCATTTAAAATAGCGCGGTTAAGGTCATTTTGGTAATGCATGCCTTAAAATTTCGACTTGAGCTGTTACCACATCGAGTTCCCGGTCGGAAATAATGAACTCATCGAATTTCTTTTCAGTTTTTCATTAGCCATTGGAATGGATCCTTACCATTCAGTCTCTTAAGGTTGGTTTTAGTAGTTGGATGATTTTGATGCTCTGTCAATTAAATGCCACATTTGGGAAGAAAAAATGGCTTTTAGATGAGTTTTTATTTGATAGCCTGGTACTAGTAGACACTTCAATCGGTGCTTTGTTGGCTGCATAGTGGTTTGCGCTGATGGTCAACTAAATATTTTGTGTATGTGCGGTTCGCTTGGATTGGTTGCTCCTCAAAAACCGACAAAGAAGAGTTGAACTTATTTCAAAATGGAACCTAAATTGTTCAAATTAGTACGAATGAACCTACTTTGAGGTGGGTAGTAACTAGCATCGCAGTCATCAAATCGGCCTCTCTAGGCTGCCTCCTCATTCCTTTGTTCATTGTCTCCACTTTCAGTTGCCCTACTTCGTAAATGAACTGACTGTAACGAGTGTAGACATGGGCACGGAGTTACCAGTGATCAGAAATGCTGGAAAACCGTTTTTGGACAACCAGGGACTGTGGATTGAAGCGGAGGTTGTTTATGCTGGGGGTTTCACAGTCTCCCTTGAAACCAATGTGAGTGGCCTCCATTGCCTGGTTATGTGGGTAGAGCCTACTGATTAGATTAAATCACCGTCACAATCGCCATCCCTTTTTAGATCAATCTCATGAAATTGCGTGATAAAACTTGGCGTCCAAACGGAGCCGTTGGTTCAAGTAAGTGAACTTGTGCTTTAACCTACACCTCCAGAGAGCATAGACACCATCTTGGGTAGTTAAATCGGCCATATAGTTAGGAGTAAGAATCGGCGTCTATGCTTCTCGAAGGTTTATGTAAAAAAGGTAGTACAGGAAAGACTTTTATATTATTTTGAATATAGCAGCAAGGTTAATGCTGTTTATGGGTGAGTTGAGGTGAAATTGTGTGATAACACCTCTCTTCCCTTCTTATTCACCTTAAGGTTGTCCTCGCATCGAAGTTGGTTTACTAGGAAATAACTAATGAACGTAAAAGTTAGAATATTCTGGATCTTTGCAGGCGTCGTTTTTACACCTTTTTTTCTCTCCGTTAAAGTCCCCTCGTAGATTTACTTGCTTTATACGCACGAGTTTATAAATATCTCATCTTTAGGTTTGTGCTAAGTAGTTCGGATTTCACAGCATGTTACCCTGATTCCTGACCTACGACCTTATTTATGCCCAGTCTTTCTGGTAGCTGTTGCACAACTGCAATTTTGGATGTCTTTTCTCAGCCCACCTTGGTTTCTCTGTGATATTAGCCTATTGTAACATAGCCTAACACCTCGATTTTCTTCGCCAAAATAGAACCCCTCCCACAACCACCGTCGGAATTTGGCAGTGCGGGTGCGGCTATCAACAACAATGCAGGCAGTGTGACCACGGACTACCCAATCGAAGGTGGAAACGCAGATGGAACAGGGCGGAGCATGGCAGCCTTCCTCTCAGATGAGGAGGACAGTGCCGACTCCTCCACGGACAGCGATCGGGAGAGTGCGCTCACCAATGCCTTTGCTTCTATTCTTCCCACTGCCGTCGCCGTAGCCGCACCCTCCACCTTCCCCCCTGCGGCGCCCGCCTCTCCTGACGCCAAGTCGACTGACACTCAGCGATTTGCCTTCACACCTGAAGAAAACAACGACCTGTCAGCTGCACCGCCTTCTCCCTTTATCTCTCCCCCTCCTTGAGCCGTATATTTGCATCCCTTCTCTCTTTCAGGCAAAGGCCGAAGCGGCGATTGTACCGCATAATGGATAAGATCACCCGCTCCTCCTACTTTCAAAAAGCGGTCGACAGCAAATTTGTGCAGCGTGGCATGGAGTATGTCTCAAATAAAGCCATCAATCTCCAGCTGGAGGTAAGTGAGATCACCCTCTTCCATTTTTCTCTTTTAAATCTGAGGAGTACTGATACAACTATTCTACTGTGTGCGGTATTATTTGCGAGATAAAAGATGAAAATGATAAGGATGGCTATTTCGAGGTTTTATTAGTCCAATGGACGAACTCACTTTTTCCCACCCACTCTTGCAGTGAACCAATTGTCTTCGAATATTTCTGGGTATATAAATAACGGCGCTCCACTGATTTGTAACTATTTCACGACTAGAGCCACGCGCAGTATGATGGGGAGCTATAACTAAACACACGGTCCGCTGAGAAATGTACTGTACTATCCCCATATCAGTGTACTAAATCACCGTGTGTGGCCTTAGCGATTAGGTCAGGGTTACGACACTGGTACTTTTACTAATTTTTTTTTTGCTAAATGCCTCTTTTTTCTACCCGATTTGAAGGTGAGCACGCTGCACGGCACCTTGGTGTTGAATCTCCCACCACCGCCCAGCGACCGTCTATGGTATGGCTTTCGCGGCAATCCAAATCTTCGTTTCAAGTTAAAACCCAAATTTGGCGAGACGCTTGTGACTATTCCTCGATTCCTTGAGATTTTGGAGAAAAAACTCATTTTGGAATTTCAGGTAGTCATGCACGCCTTTTTTCGGTATTACAGCCCCAAACTAAATTACGGCTTGGTAGTAGTGTCTAATTCTCCATTTCTGACTGATTTAAATCTTTGCGTTTGCGGGATGTTAACTAGCAGAATATTTTTGCAGAACATTTAGATTCTCATGTACTGAGTAGGTGTCATGGAATCAAGTTATGTGAGAAAGTGAAAAATCTTCCCATGTCATTGTTGATCATGATTGATTAATTAGCCCCTCCTGTCGGGTCATAGATTAAAATGCGTTCGAACGACAAGCATCCGTCCGAATGTTTCACCATAATCAAATTCTGCTTCCTCGTGACGCCTATGTGGTACTCTTATTGTTTACATTGTGTCGGTGGCCCCAGTACCGTGGCTTCGACCCTAAATTTAATAGGGGGCAGTTACATATGGAGAATTTCAGAATTCACGGATGATTAAAAGTCTTGGTCTATCCAGTCTATCTACATAGGATAGCATTTAGCAGCGCTCTTGCTCAAATGCTCTCATTTTGCCTGCGTAGTGTCCATCAGTTGAGGGAGTCAGCCCCACTCATTAACACCCGGCCAGAAAAGGCTTTAACTACCTTTTGTGTTTTGCAAAGAAATATTAGCAGAGTGGGAACAATATGATCCACTAAGAAGTTTAATGTAATAAGCCATCCACCGAATCATGGTTTATGCCAATTACAAGTGGCTTCTTCCAGTCGCTAAATGAATACCCTTATTAGTTTTATCCTCTCTTTTTTCTCTGGCACTTACACGTCCCCTGTATAACTCAGAGCCAACTTCACTACTTGCAGTGTTTCTCTAACTTAGACGTTAATCGGACTGAAAGGGTCACAATCGGTTATTAAACCATATTTGAATTATTTTGGTTGGCTACCATTGTAGAGAGTTTTCGTGCTACCCAATATGGACGACCTTGTCATGCCGCTGCTGATACCGGAGCCGATTCTAAGATGTTCACAAACCTCGGAAGCTATGACGAGTACCACGCACTGTGATGAAAGATCTTTTGGTGGATCGTTAGCCTCACAACAGGAGGGTGAAGCCGCTGCCTTATAACGTCCCGCATTTGCAAATCAAGCACTCAAATCCCCCTCCTATGGACCTGGTGACTGTGGTCTCCTTTTTTCACCTTCATGGTATCTCCCCGCCCATGCATAAGCACTCCAACTACTAGCTTTATTTTGGCTACGTTTATGAAGTGTAAGCGGTCATCAAAATTTATTTTCTCTTATTAAAATAAAACCTTGTGAACCGCCCAAAATTTGTGACACACTAGCATTCTGCGGACTAATTCCTATCAGAGTTGTGCGTTGCTTATAACCCGTCAGAATGGAGAAGTGTTGACGGTAGTAATTAAAGCACCACTCGCGAAAAACCCAGACGCAATGGGCGATTGTTTGCTAGACTGAACCCCGCCTCCGATTGGATGCAAAATACATTGTTACTGAGGAAACCGAATCCTTATTGATAAAATAGCATTAATTTATCAAAATTAATAAAACGAGCGTTTGGCAAAGTATGGAACTGCTCCATTCGATTAGGGGGCGAGACGTTCGCAGTACCAGCCCTCCTCGCAGAGCTTTGAAAATTTGCAGACCTGTTTATCCTCATCCGGTCGGAAGAACAGGACACGGTCATGAAGACGTGAAGTTTGTCCCTGCCAAAACTCCATTCGATTGGGCATGACCGCATAGCCGACCCTGTGATAAAATTTTGGCGGATAGCATCATCATCAGCATAGGCTACTAGTAAGGCAAGTTGGTCGTGCAGCACCTACCAAGTTTCCGGCTTTTGAATATGTTCAAAGTCCTTGAATTCCTTTTCAGCTTCTTTGAAATCATGTAACATTTTCTAAGAAAATGTGACCAACACCTAGTCAAACATTATGTACGCATTAGTAGGAGTGAAATCACGATAATGAAAGTACCTGATCGGATTCAATGGGTTGGCTCTGCTTACTAATATAAGCAGCTATTTGGCTTGGCTTGGGACGGGAGTGAAAGTATTCCTCTGCCTCTACGTTAGGCAAAAGATTTGCCTTCCCTTCAATTCGTACCTAAAATTTGAAACCGAATTGCCTGAAAAGGCGGTAGAGTGCACAGAATGAAATAAGTTGCAAATACCTGGCGGTTCATGGGCTCCCAGTAAAAAAGGAGACTAACATTTGGATTATGTGTCTAAATCTATGGGTGAAAAACAAAGAGGATTACAATGTCTTGTCCTTTATGGCTCACAGAATTTGTATAAAAATGAAAACCTCGGTCATCTAGACCTTTCAAAAGAACGCATCTTGAACTGGGGCGTCCAGACCTAAGTATCTAGTCGAACAGAGTAAGCAAGTACTTTGAAACAGTTGACAGAACCATAGCGTTTGCTTCGTACAACCCAGGACAAGTAATTGCTTCTTCAAACCACGCTTGAAACTGCTTCATTGGATGTTTCAATGTGATATTGCTATCATACAAGCGATCTGACTCCTTTCGATAAGGAACTCGCAAAGCTTAAAAAATAAGTCAGAAAAAAAGACGCCAACTTTTCAAGTTCAGATAAGCCATTTCACCCAAATGCCTAGTTTGCAAATGCACCATAGTCAGGACAGGCACTTTAAACCGGTACCAATTTAAAATAACCAAATCTCAAGGATACTACCCATTCATATAGATCCTGCCTATTTTTCAAAAAACGTGTCATATTACATTATTTTCTACGCATTAATAATATTAGTTCACTGCAAATCCACTTACAAATGTTTTCTTATTCAAAAGTTTAAATCATAAAATTTTTTGATAAGAGTAATAAACTAGGTTGTATTTGCTAAACTCAATGCAAGACACCTCTCTGTATTTTAATGATTTCTTGATAAACGCTGAGTTAAGGAAAACTGCCGCGTATAATTTACTTATTTTTGTCCACTTAATAACATCTTAAAAGTTGAACTGTTGGCACCTGCCGGCACCAAATCTCCTTAAGAATAAGTACTTTTACCAAACTTGCCAGTAATTTAAAACCCAATTCTTCTTATCTCTTCATTTCAGCATTTAGAATGGATCTTACGCATCAGGCAATAACACCAAAATTGTACTTGATAAACGTAAAATACAGAACGGACACCGGAAAATGCCTTATGCCTCTAACATAGCTATGGCCGTTCCATCTATTACCTCCTAGAAGTCGTAATAAGCCAAATCACTATGAATGACCATCCATCATCGAAGGTTTGGCGGGTTAGGAAGCTATGGATATGACCTAGAACCACGGCACTGATACTGAAGTTGACCACTGAAATCGAGACATCCACGTGACGATACGTGCATAAGAGCTGTTGGCGAACCACCAATCTAATGGTAACTTTGCACTCCGATTTCACCATCACGATATACTCCCCCAAGCCTACGCTTTAAATACCGGAGAAAGGCTAATAATGATGAGATAAATATCATTTTCTTATCCCATTAATGATACAAGTACCAAATAATATGGTTCGGGAGTATCTATTCGAGATTCATACACTAATGGTGCGAAAGACATTGAAGCCGTCGAGAGCGGTACTGATGACTAGACCAGGCACCTGAGGATGCCATCGGCTCTCGCGCACCTCCCGCTGGCCGCTGTGCAGAAAGAGGAGTTGCACTGGGAGATTGGAGTCACGCTTTTCCTCGTTCTCCACCGCATCCTGCTCCAAGCCTAAGTCCCACAGACTCGTTGTGTCATCCTCCGAACTCGCCACGAAGATGCCAGCCTCCGTGGGGTGCCATTCGATCGAGGTGATTGGCGAACTGTGAAACTGAGAAAAGGGAGAATTCGTGATCAATTAAAAACGGAGGAAGCCAATGAGTCCTTATCCACAACCAAATATGCAGAACTAGTTGTGCTGTGACCAAACTTGAAAACGAAGTAATAAAAACAACAGAGTGCTCTCTTCTTATAAAATGAGAACGAACCAAGGGAGATTTAAAGGGTAATTCAAAAATCAGATACGATTAAGTGGGCGGGTGGACTCACAGAAAAGGAATGGGTGTACGCTGTTAGAGCGCTGTCACCGCCACCACCGCCAGGACCGTAGCATCGAAGCACCATGCGGAGGTCCCACACGCGAATACAACCGTCATCAGCTCCGGTTAGGAGGGTGCCCGGTTGCTGCGCGTTCCACGAGGCCACGTTAACATCTGCAGCGTGCGCATTTGCCACGGTTATCATAGCTGACGTCTACGCTTCACAAGAACAAAAGAGAATCCTACATGGATAACCAGATTGCTCCTTTTCGAGTCGGTAGATCTCGTTAATCAAGTCATTCTTGATAATGAGATATTTTTAATCATACAATTTGCCAGCATGTAAGCCTTTTAACGAGGCACGAGTTAGGAACCAGTCAACCTATCCTTCTCGGTAAAAATGGCTTATATCAAACCGTTAAACACCACGGCGAGGTTATGAGTAAACTAATTTGTTCAACGAAAATGACGCCTACATTTAGCAGGAGCAAAAAAGCAGATTCGTCTTTCAAGCTAGAATAAAAAAGACGCATGCATTGACGAGGTTATGTTTGCTCGAAAATGTGCTATGAACCGTACCCACAGAATAAACATCACTAAGGTGAGAGTGAGAGAGGTGACCAGACATAATTATGCACAGACCCTAAGTCCGCTGCGAGTATCCCAGACACAGAAACTGCGATCAGTGGAAGCGGTAATAAAGACGGTGGGTTCGCTCGGTGACCACTGAATATCCTCCACAGAGCCCTGGTGACCCCTGTAGGGCTTTGATGACACCGTCCAATTCGAAGGCTAGAGAGAGAAAAGATCTTCATTTGTGGCTCACTTAAAAATTAACAAACTTACTATCAACCTACTACAAGCCTACTGGTAGGTTTCGGACAGTAAAACTCGCATTGAAGATGCGTATCGACCAAACTCTGTAAGAGCTCACATCTCAAACCCCACATTAAATAAGCTTATGCACCTGAAAAGATTTCGACTAATTATGCAAATATATTAATAAAGCTCAAAACTTTTGAAGCACAGGTGAGATGAATAGCGGTATTTCAGGAATGAAGTTGTTTCAATATTGTATTAAATCACCTTCTGCAAGATTAGAAGAAACTCACCCCGGACTGCCAAATGAAAACGGCCCCATTATTGTCACCAGTGGCTAGGTTACTGAAGGGCGTGGAGCATGAGCTCCAGGCCAGGCCGTAGCCCTCTGTTCTGTGACCCTTGAAGGTGAAGAGAGGTGTAGGGGACTCGTGATTTCGAGTGTATTCGGCCATCACCGCGGAGTCGTTCACAGCCAGAAGGGGTCGACTTAGGTCCCAAATATTCACCTGAGTGAATAGCATATAAGAGAGTTAGCAATGACAGAGGCCTAACAACACACTAAAAATCCACTGCATGGAATTAGTCACAACACATCATGAAACGGTGGTCTCCAAAGGCCCAAATCTACCAGGTTAATTAAATCGCAAGGCAGAATACTAGATGCTCTGCTCAAGCAAAAATAACAGCCCAAGTCCAAGGATTAAAAAAATAAGTTACTCACAAAATCAAACTTCAGTCGCACAAATATTTACGTCAGAAATTGCAAAAGGTCCTTTAAATCATGAATTAAGAACTTTAAAAAAAATAGTGTCCCTAAGAAGGCTGATTGGAAGTTTGCCCTTCACAATAAATAATTCCTGAAAGGATAGCTTCAAGAAATAACCACAAAAATGCACTAAATTAAAATATGGAAATTGTAAATACAGCACAGACCGCAAATCAAGGACTAGAAGAAAGTCAAATGAAGAGAGACTACTAATACGTGAAATGGTATAGTCCAACTGAATGTAAGTAAAATTACCTCAGCAGACTCGGACCATGTAGCGGCGAGATACGATTCCTGAAATTTGTGAGCACGAAGTCGATTGATTGTGCCACTGGAATGACAAACTTTCGCACATTCCACTTCTGGTAGACTGTCGAGGTCTTCACCGATTTCACCATCCGAACTACTATCTGAGTCGGACTCATCTCCAGTCTCCTGTGGGAAGACCAAACAAATTACGCTTAGCGGGTTCTGTATAAACTTTACCAAAGTAAATAATATTTTAACATTGTGGGTACAATTTGGGATGATCCACTCTAAAGTAGGGGAAACAAACAAATTCATGTTATCTGATGACCAAGTCAAAAAAATTTAGGCGAAGGTCACCTTTGCAGTCATTGGTCTCATGTTGGACAACCGCATAACAATTATGCTGTTGTCTTTTTCTTCCTGCGCCTGTGTACCTGCAGCAAGATAGATCGTCAACGGATCGACTCCGTTCATTTCAACTTCTCGTGAATCTCCCAAGCAATCGAGGAGGGGTTCAAAGGAAAGAGAAGGCGCCTCAACTTGAAGATGATAATACAGTCTGTAGGCCGATTTGTCCATTACCAACTCCTCATCATCACGAAGAGGGCGTGATTGACCTGGAAGATAGATTTCTGAACCTCGTTTTTCCTCTTCACCTTCTGATACTTCATCGTCGTCATGAGTATCACTATTCTCACAGTCCATTATGAATTGCGACGAAATTAGTGCTTAAAATGCAACGAAAAAACAGTAAAAAAATCATCAAGGAGAACGTAGAAACCCAGGATATCAAAAAAGCCAGAACAAAGTCATACTTGGAAATGCCGAAACGCCATGGAAAAAATACGCCCGAACGCAGCAATTAGAATAAGTATGCAAATTGATCACGGCTATGAGACACAACAGCTCGGCAACTAACACGACGCACTTAACACTTCAGAGCCTTACGTACAACGACCACGTGGAGTGCCGAAAGGTCAAAAGCTGGGCGCCGATAAGCAGGTCAGTATATACAAACTTTGCAAGCCAACAATCCGTCAAACATGTACGAAAAAGTTTTTATTCAAAGGCTTTTTTACGATTTTTCGCACATGTTAAAAAACTGTTGCATCTTTACAAACCTTTTTTCCATTTTTTTACTATTTTACCATTTTGTACAATTATTTTTAAAATTTTGATAGCAATTCTGTATTTAAAAGGTAAAATAAGGAGTTTACTAGTGTTTTGTATATCAAAATTAAAACTCGTCCCCGTAATTGCATGCGCGCTTTGCTCAAAATGGGTTGAGACTTTTTTAGAAGCACTCTGTTGTACTTATAGGAAATGTTTTGGAATCCAAACGTATGTTTGAGTTAGAGGAGGTTACAGGATGGTCAAACTGTTGTGTTTTGAGCATATTGGTAGCCCTTTTTAGTTTTAAATCTAAAAATAATGGATCTTGCCACGTAAAAAGCACGGTTATTAAAGGGCAGTAATTAACTCGCCTTGGTTCGTCGGAATACTCGGCTGTGTCACCAACGAAAAGTTGAACGATCTGTTTACTCGTCTGCAGGTGGTCTTTACTGCAAATCTCACTGCGGTTATCTCTTGTTTATCACCATACATTAGTGTATGCTATAATTTACGGGCTACTTGGTCTTATTTAGTAACTCTTATTCGAAAGTTAAAATGCACTAATCTGATTTTGTGAACAAGATTTTTCAAAGGTAGTATCAAGTACTTAATTCGTTGCCACCGGAATCGAAAATGATAGCATGGTGCCTTGTCCCCCTCCTCCTCAAAATTTTTGGATTATCAGACAGTAAGATTTTATCTCTGAGGAAAGTAATGTCTTAGATAGCTTTTCCTTTCTCATTTAAAATATGGTGATGATATCAGTTGATAACAAGCTAAAAATCCACTACCTTCTTTGGTGGGCGAAGTTTTTGATGCTTAAACAGGTTCTTCTTCTCAACTGCTTTTCCTTATGTTGAACTGCGATCATTTTACTCTTATACTCATCAAATAAGTGTGTGTATACGCTTTGTGTCGGCCAATACTGCTTTATCTTGTTGTTTCTGCGAATGGATAACTCCTACATGTTTGTCCTTAAATTTTTTGAAAGGAATGGCATACGAGGACAAATTTTCAAATTGACTAATGTCTTCCTCTAGGACTCTAACGTGACCCTTCGCGAAGAGACGGTGTCAGTCCAACGTAAAAAGCAAACCACAGCCAATGCTTTTTTTGCTTTGTAAATCTCATCCAAAATAATCACTAATATCCAATTTTCAACTTGGCAAGACGCCCTAAATCAATACGCGTCCCGCTCAGGATACAGTCACTGACCATATCTATTAAGCTAATTTTCAAAACAAATTTGTCGAAATAAGGCTTCCATAACGCAGTTACCCTCGACCTCTTTGATTCCGGTATAACCAACAGCGCTTCGCATCGCCAGCGGCTGACACATCAGTCCTGTATGTGACCAGCGTCTGCTCCAGACCAGAACTGTTCGCCAAGGACGCCAATGTGTCTTCTACAAAAGCTTCGCTACTGCCTTTTGCACTTCGTCCACAGTCTCCTTCAACTAGTAGTAATACGCACTACCAAGATTATTCACAGTAATAAAGTAGCTGTTTGCGCAAATATATTTGTGTAAAATTTCAGGAACAGGGAAAGTGCACAAATAAAATTAAGAAGGCAGCAAAGTTGCATATACAAAGTAGCGCACAGCCGGGTTAGTGGAAATGATAAGGATGTTGTGGGGCTCCAGATTTTGTACGTTTTTTTCGGAGAAGAGTGCGGCCAAGACAGGACTACTGGTTATTTCTGGATGGTCGATTGCGATCCGGTAATAATGGTGGTGGGTCGATGGCGCAAAACGAGGATTCGTTTGGCCGCCGCCCGTGGACGACCGCCCGGGGCTAAAACCAATTGGGCGGAAAGGACGGGACTGCACTGGGTTGGTGTCTGGCTTAAACAAACTGGTCTTTCAACACCTTATAAGAGAAAAGGGTTTGTTACTAAAAGGCGGTTAGCCACCTCTATTCGCTGTAAGAATGGAGCACCAAAAAACTGTGAGCACCTTATGATTTACTCATCTAAGTTGCAGTTGCGCCCAATTATGCCTTGTCATCAAATTCTTTACGAGTAAAAAAACAGGGACTTATGATACATAACCCCAGCGTTAAACAAATATAACATTGGATTAACCAATCTCGCATATCGGAAGGCATAAATTCTCTCCTATCTTGTATGAATAGGACTGTGAGAATCCTGAGCTGATGTGATAACTAAAAGAAAATAGGATTCCAATCGTAAGTGCTCAGATCTGATAAGCCAGCGATGAATGAAGTGCAGTAAGAATTATGGTTTTATGGGGATGATGATAGGTTTTAGTTTTAATGATACATAAGTAGAATGCAATTACTCGACGCACCAAAGGAATTAGTTGGTCGCCCTGACTTCCAGGACGGAGCAGACGAGGAGATAACCGCGAGTTGTGGGGCCACAGAGGGGAGGGGATGATATATAGCGGTTGTGGAAGACAGTTGGTGATCCCTCAAGGAGGCTCTTTGCTCGTCCTGATACCTGCGTCGACGAAAGGCCTGACTTATGAATCGCTCCTCAAACTGAGGATCAATCATCCAATAGCAACCCTTCCCTGGTTCGTCAGGTAACCGCGGTGTCTGAGAAAAAAGGGCATTGCAACTAAATGACAACGAAACTCAATGCTAGTATAGGGTAAAAAGAGCATTCTCAACGCATAAACTGAAAAAATTAAACTGCAAAAAAAATTTCACCAATATACAGTTTACTTTGTTTCAATTTACCTTGTAAAAATGTTTGTTTAATGAGAGATTGTGGCGCACAGAATTTTGCCATCCCTTATCCTCTAGACGGTAATAGGGGTAGTTCTGGCTGATAAACTGATAGATCCCCGACAGGGTAAGACGTCGTGTTGGTTGACTGGCCAAAGCCTGAACAATGAGCTGAGCAAAGGAGTACGGTGGCTTGACGGTGGCAAAAAACGGATAGATGGAATGCGCATGCGTGTCCCAGAGCAGCTGTGCACCAGCCGATTGCCCAGATGATGCTGCTGCTGGACCGAAGATATGCAAGATTTGACTTGGTTGTTGCTCCTGTTGATGCTCCTGATTAGGAGGGTTGACAACTGGAGCAGAACTGTGGTGAAGTAAATGTGAAATTTAATCCCCACTGCCGACATGAAATTCGATAAGATGTACAAAACATACCCCTTATCAATGTTGTTTAATGATTTATCGATAATTAGAGAACTGTTCGTTGTAATAGACGTAAGTAACTGTTTCCGTCGACTTGTTGAAACCGGAGGAATTATTCGGTCTAAATGACTATCATCGACTTCAACATCCGAAAGATGCTGTGGGCTTTCTGCCAGTTGGTCCCCAGAGGGACAGGAAGCCTTTAGCTGCCTTCCAGGTACACGTAATGACTTTGTTTGGCAATGAACCACCAGTTCGATTGAAGTATTTGGGAACCGAATGGTACATCTATAAGTTACAAATGAACGGAATATACTAAAGTGGCACTGTTGACTGTTGGACTTACTAAAAGAATTCTAAAGCAAGCTAAAATTAAAAAATTAGCACGTTCCAGCTAGAAAATAGAATCAATGATGGCATTACACAGGAAAGGAATATAAAATTGTTAGATATATAAGACAGCCAAATGAGGAACATGTTCAACCAACAATAAAATAACTGGAAAATGTACTTGACGTATACCCATATTTGAAAATAGCATGCAACACATCATGAGCTTAAAGAGCACTTTACATTCGAAATGTGGTTGAGGTTATACTGAAAACATAAATACAAACGCGGCTACTCAAGTGAAGCACACACTTTCGTGGGAGTCGATACAAAACACTCCCCGGTCTTCGATAATGACCGTTTATATTTATTCCATTCTTGCCCAAGCACTTTAGCAGTAGCCGACCAGCAAACCATGTAATTTCGATATGACGCCGAGATATGAGCGACGAATCAAGCTTCATGTCAGCATCCGAATCACCAACACTTCTACCGATGACAAAGCGTCGACTTCGCATAACATACTTCGTTAGTCCATTAAAAATAACAGCATATGTTCGCGGAGAACGCCTCGACGCCCTACGAGTCATACCAACAAAACCGACCAAAGCCCCCACAACCGAATGGGAGAACTAAAACATATAAGTATTGCAGTAGAGTTCGTAGCCTCCAAAATGCAAAGCATTTGTTTTATGACAATAAGTAAATAAAATCTTTGGCAAAATCTAAATTTTTATAGTCATTCTTGAAAAAATGAATATAGGCAAAAAACAAAAAATTAAAAATAAATAAAATTTTAACTTGGGTTTATTCAGCCTGTTGTGTTTTATAAGGCGAAAATATTTTTACATGGCCATGATGTAGTTTTTTCACGAATCTCCACATAGAACCTTTTGGACTTTTTGCTTGCGGCAAACTTTAATGCAATAATTAAATGAGTGAATTCTTAACAGTTTTTTTCACCCTTGCGGTTGTGCTTGGTATTCACATTGTATATCCCGTGTTTGTAAACACTTGCGTGTAAAACGTGGGTGCCGTCACCTACTTAGAAAAGGTGTAGTTAAGGTAGTTTGAAGTAGGTGATTTTGGCCGTCCCAGTTATTCATGTTTGTTCAAAGCTCACGGGGTGTGCATGCTGAGACCTGGTGCCGGAATGGATGTGCAACCAACTCCACCTCGTAAGCGTAACGATAGGCCGAATGGATCTTCTCGAAAGCAAAAGAGACGTAGATTGGAAAAATCACTGGTGGACCTGGAAACCACTTATGTGGATGATTGGAAGGTTTGTACACATGTCTTGATATGCAGGGCTTTTGTAGTTGAACATGGGCGCCTCTCTTGCTGATCGCCTAGAAACAATCGCTTCTGAAAAGAAATTGACAATTCTTCAAGTAAAACGATTGCTTAAGGATGTTTTAACGAATCCCGCTGTTGTAAATGCGTTCAGACAATACATGAGTGGGCAACTTACTTTATTGGAGCCGGAGACAGGTGCGGCTTCTACGTCCACACGAAGACATGCCCAATTTCTTGGCTTTGACCTTTCTGCCTTCGGCCCCCGGTCCAATATAATGGATATTTTGTCCCGAAGATCAGTTACTAGGTATGCTTTGCCAAATTTTCAAATTTATTAGCACATTAATGAAGCATTTCACTAGCGACTGTGTCTGGGTATTTTTTGTTGACTTTATATGTGTTCTCAGAATTCAGTGATGCTACACTATTTAATTCTGCAAATCCGAATATTTCGCAAACCTTTCAGCAGTAGTTCCTTATTTCATCAGAAACTAGTCTTAGTTTATTTTGCACCGAAACTGTGCCTTATTGATTTTATCGCTTTCATAGTGTGCCTTCGTTGATTTAAGCTGATTGACGTGATATGATTATAGGTCTATTTCCTGAAGCCTTTTTTTCATGACTACATTTTTTTTAGATCTCTAGCTAGAAAACTGAAGGCTGAAGCGGCTCAAACTAATTCCACTTTGCCCCATGAAAAGGGTAACCACAGCAAATCGTCATTGGAAGGTGATTTCTTACAGCAGAAGCCTAACACACTGCTTGATATGGACTTTTCTGATGGGGATGATGAAGTGGAATGTGAAGGAGATATGACAAATACGGAAAAAGTAGTGGAGACAACTGCCGCAGAAGTTGTTCCAACGCCCATCGACAATGGCATAGGTCGTCAGCGGGACGAGGACTATCATCCAACTGCGGACGATATTAGTCTCATGCAACGCGATCTCTATTACGATCTTGAGGATACAGAAGCGAAATCTGTCTCAAGCAGTGCACTCGAAGAAGAAGAGGAGGGCGAAGCAGATAGTCCCACGACGAGTTTATGCACCGTCGAACCCTTCGACACACCTCATCGGGATTACTTCCTGCGTTCGCGAAAAGGTGATGATGCCTCCATGCAGGACTGTCTCGGTGGGCTGACGCCCAATGTACTAAGTATGCTCGACGAGGACGAGCCCAATATGGGTGCTGAAATGGATGCGCTGAAATTCGCTAAAGCCATATCTTCACCCAACGCTAGTGTTGAAAATGATCCAGAGGACCAAATCTATACCAGTTTTCTAAGGTCTCTCTTCGAGTCGTCCCCGCAGGAAACCAGCGCTTTATCTCCTGGAGTAGAACCCGTATGTCCCTATATTGCTTTTGTTCACTAGTTTTTTTTGGAAAAAAGTTAATTTTTATCCATTTAGCAACCACTCGACCCCATGTTGAACCCAGATGCCGCGCATTGTATTTCGGAAACATCGAATGCGCCGATGGGCCCGAACTACTCCACCGCGAATGAGAGCAGAACAGGTGCGGACGAATGTGACGATCCTGACTTCGATGTCATGGCTGAATTGGAGTCCATTTGCTATGACGATCTCTTCGACGAGTTGAGATCCGATCGTGCTGTCCGTATCTCAAAAATGGAAGCAAAGGTAACTTTTTCTTTTCCTCATGAAGTTGATAACTGTTTCCTCAGTTGTAAATGCCTATCTTTAGTCTCTGAATTTTTGAAAATGTCGTTTTACTCTATCAATGTTCTCCACTTCTGTTTCGCAATCAATGGAGCGGCCCTACAGAAGTACAAACGTTTTTAGTGATTTATTACTGATCTCTCCAAGGGTATCGAAATCAACGAAGTAGGAAATGAGGCAAACTCTGACATCAACTCATTGATGTTCCTGAACCTTGACCATAGGAACTTTTCTAAAAGCTTGGTTTAAGATTTTATTTGAAAGGGACTGTTGTTTAACTATTTTCTATGTCCATCGATAAATTTTTGTCGAAATTAGCTATTGGTACTAGAGTCAATATAAAAAACAATCAGTTGAAGTCATTGTCACTTAGTTTAATTTAATCGGCAAGTTCACTCAACCATATCGCTGGGGATAGTGTTTACTTTTTCAAACGTTTATATGCCACCTTTCATGCATATCTTAAGCTACTAAAAACTCTCCAAAATAATACTATCTCCCTCTTTTAGGAAATAAATTTTGCCAATGCAAGTGTACTTGGGTTCATAGGTTTTACTAATTTTGGTCACTAGTCATAAGTCATTTTTTATCGCGGCTGCCGTCAGTGCTACTCATAAAAGCATATTTTTTGTTGCCGGCGTCGCAATGATCTAATCCACTTTCCTCTTTCATCAAACCTGTGTGGGCACGTTAGGAGCTACGGCGAGACTTGGTGGATCTGCTAAGCGATGATATCTTCTTCGGAGAAGATTTTTCCACATTTGCTAAGGCTCCCACATCAACAAAATCATCTGCTGCACAACACAAAACTTCCAGCGGCAAAACTGCTGATGTGTCCTCATACCCTCCTCTCCCACCACCTCCTTTGTGAGTTTCCACGTATTATTTTGTACCCGACTTGCCAAAAGTATTTTTTAACTTATAAACATGGGATGTGTCGTGCTTGTATGTCGGAATTCACCCACGCCCATATTTCAACTTGTCATTATTAAAGGTAGCAGAGTAGGAGTTTCCGCTATTGTTTCGGAGCATACATTATCTCTTGCTTGATCATATATCTTTTCTCTAGTGATTATAATACAAATGAACGCCTTCGACGTCAAATTTCTATGCACGTGCAACTCCTCTGTTCCACCCTGACCTGCTGCATCCACCGTATAGATTTGGAGAAGTCAGTGTGCAACGTCGTGAGAGAGGCCTTTACCGACTTTCGCGGTGCCTTTCGGACAGTCAAAGAGGATCCATACACATACGTGACAGGCCTCTCAGATCTCAACGATCTTTTCTCCTCCGCATCCGCTTTCATGACTGAGTTTGCCGGTCTCACTGTCCTCCCACTACCACCACCCGTTCCCCCTGCCTCCGCCTCGAACCCTCCTCTCCTACCCCTTCCCTTCAACCTTCTTGACTTTGTTGCTCGCAGTTCCATTTGGGCCTACCCGCACTTCCTTCCCCGTGGTCTTGCCTCTAGACCGCACACTCTCTCCAAAAGACTTTTCAGCAAAGACGAGGATAACCTTATTGTTCTTGGTCTGGCCAACCTAATTGAGTTTGCTCCACATCGATTCAACCTCTTCGCGGAGGGTCTTAACCGTCGCAACAGACCCACGGTAGACAACTCTACCGCTGCCGCAGCTAAGCGTGCCATGGTGTTCGACTTCATTACTAAAACTCTCATCCCTACCAAGACTAGTCTGCAGCTGCACAATCGCAAACTCTACATGGAGAAGATGATTCAACGAGACTGGCTCAATGTACGACGGAATGCCAAGTCATCTCTCTATCTCCTCATCCTCGATCTCATTTCGGGGGATTTTGAGGGATTGCAGGCACAACGTGACCTCCTCCGCGCCTGCGTCACCAGCTTCGCGCACCGCACACGCGCCGCTTCTGTCGGTGGTGGCGTGTTGCAGCGAGGCAGCGTTTTCTCACGGCCTGGCTGCTGGTCACTCCTACCACCCGAATACGTGCATTGCTGCCGCACGCTGCAGGCGCAGGTCGAGGCGGGCGCAACAGGCACTCCGCAGCCCTCGGTGGAAACCCTGCTCCCTGTGTTCACCGAGGGCGCACCCCAAAATGTGGAGTTTTTCTTATCGGCACTGCTCACCTGGTGGCCTCCTAGTGATGCTGATGAGATGGGGAAGCGGGAAGAAGAGATAGCTGAAGTCAATGCCTTGTGAGTTTGAGATTATGTTATCCGAGCTCTTTCACATCCTCCTAATTACTTCATTATCCATAGTATAATTCATGCCGGTGTCGTCTTGGGGTTAACAATTTTGGGGGCAGGATTCTTTAGTTTTAATTTTTATCAGTTTTTGTATCGCCGCTAGTGTTGTAGCCTCGGCGATGCCTAGCCGTATCAAAGAAATCAAACTGCGATAGAAAGTGGTACCATCCTTGTCGGGCCCATTGGCTTGATAAGCCAAAATTAGAACACCACGCCACTACCTACTGGTCGGTCGGCAAACCCCTCAGATCCTGTAAGTCCATGAGTCCCGTCGTACTCGGACGCTCAGTGGTATTGGCGTTATTCGTCATTCTCGAGCGTTTCCATTAGATATCACGGGGGAGGACAGCTAACACGCATTGGTCCTCGTGCTGCTGCTTTCTTCACGATCATCCCTTTTGTTATGCTAGATTAATTTTTGTAGGTAGTGCTTATTGCTGGGACTCTTCCCTCTAATAGACTTATGTTTGATAGGTCTTTTTGTTGTTCTTTATTCTTCAGCCCTGCTCCTCCACCACCGGTAGGCGTGCCATCAGCTAATATGATCATTTTACTGCCTACTTTGGTTCAACCCGTCGTTCCCATCACTTCCACAAACCCGTCCTCATGTCACCTTCCTCTTCCTGTCACAACTAGCATATCAACGAGTCCAGGGCCTCTACGACCTCCAGCAATGCCTTCTGTACCACCCAAACACTCTCTTCCTAGTTCACTAGCTCACCCGATCCCACGCAAGGTTGGTTCTTGCTACCTGCCTTCATTTTCTGGATTTCGTATGCGCGATTCAAGTAACCATTTGTCGAAATCTCGTAAAGTGTCCTAGTTTTCATATGGTATGATTTCTGCGAGTTTGAATAGGAAGAGGCTTCAACGAATTCCTCCTTTACTACTTTGCCTCTTCTTACATTCCTTTAGCCTCCTCTTGCACTCCCCCCCAAAACGTCTCGCCCTAACCAGACTCAAGACTCCCAAACAACGCCACCACCACCCAGCAGCAATGGCAGTAGTACCCGCAATCAGTTCCTGCCCCAAGTGAGCAAAATAATTCACTCTTTCCATGCAGTCCTTGATCGTGTACTGCGCGGTCTGACCTCACAAACGCAATCTCGATCCTCCACCTCTGCTGCACTCACGGCTCGTTTCCTCCGACACTGTCGTCGTGGCACACCTGGCTGGCTGCCCAACGTTACTACGGCTGTTAAGGAAGCGGACGAATCAGACGTCCGACGGGCACGCTGCCTCCTTGACCGCTGCCGCCTCCACCTCGGTCGCCAGACACATGCAGAGGTTGTCCGTTCTCTAACCGAACATCAGCCCATTATTCCTCTTGAGCGCCTTCTTTACCTCCTCTCTCCCTCGCGCCCTCTGTGGGAGGAGTTCGTAGCACTCTGTTTAACCCCCGGGCAGGCCCGATCCCTCCATATCTACCCGATCTATGCGCATTTACAACGTGTGGGAGAAATTCATTCCCTTCTTCACGCCTCTCTTCCCCGTGCCAAACGACTCTGGTCGCGTTTGAAGAAGCTGGCAGATGCTCGAGAATCCGAAGAGTTGAGAATTCCTGCGATTGAGGGTGCGCCTCACCTCTCCGAATCTTCCCGCAGTGGCGGCGGTCGTAAGCGATCGAAGAAACGGCGACGACGACAGCAAGACTTGCGGAATGGAGATGAGGATGATGAAGACGGAGAGAGGCAGAAGCCATCAAGAGATGTTTACAAATCAGCCTGGTCGCTGCTTGAGACCGCTTTGAAAGACCGGCACGCCTTGCATGCTCAGACGGCTATCTCACTGGACCCCTTTCAGAGGCCCTATTCTAACTTTTCTCAAACCTTTGAGGTGGTTGAAACACTGGCTCGGAAGCCTTTAACATCACTAGAGCATGCTCCAAGCCTCCAGCAAGTTTCTACGCCTCCGAAGCCACTGCCAAGGCTGGTGGACGTGTTCGCTCACCGATCCAATCCTACGTTGGATGGTGCATTTGTGGAGAGTCTGCAGTGGGAAGTGTCCACCGAGCTTTCATCTAGCGCCTCCGCAACGGCCAAATCAAAGTTAGCGAACCGGTGTCCATGTTCTTGCCATGACAAGAGGAAGTGGGGCGCCTTAACTCCACAGACGCCCTCACAGTCGCACCAATCGGGTCTTCTGACCCCTTCTGGGAACAAGTCCTCTGCCAAGGCGGATAGTCTGGGACTCCGACACTGCATCAAATGCAGTCTTAGGGTGGGTGGATTGGTTGTTATCAATTTGTTTATCTCACTGCTTTCCCGTCTTCTTTATCTGTTCGTCTTTTACCTCCTTTTTTCACACGATTACATTAAAATTTGATTTAATCATAAGAGAGGAAGACAAGGGGTGCTGCCACTTGTAAGATTATATGGTTAAATTACAGCACCTTAGTCTCAGTGGGTTAGATGTATGGCAAGGATAGATCTCCGAACCAGTCAGGAAACACTTCAAGTATAGAGTCCCTTGTGTTTCCACTCCAACTTGGAACATTTGGATCAGGTAAGCGCTCTTTCAATTACCGGCTTCAAAATCTACCCACCGGAAATTAGACCTGTCGTTAGCTCCCCGTCAGAATTACACCTATCACGCCCTCTGTTATAGTCGTGGAGAATGGTCAGTTTCTCTGTTGTTATTATGTGAAAGTCTTCTGGATCATCTTCTATACTTCACAAAGCACTGTTTAGAGTATTTCATCATTTACAATGTAGCCAACCATACACTACCGTAATAGCTCGCTTTTGGGAATATGACGTGGTGCTTTAGTTCTCCCGATCAGGTCTAATGCGTGAGTGTCGCTTTGTTATTACTTTGTCTTGACTCTCTGTAGTCGATTCTAGGTCATCCACGTCTTGTGACGAATCTTGAGCAGCTTAACAGGAAGTCGCTAAGGTATAAGCTACCTCCGAATTCATTGCCCTCAGAAGTTGTGAAAGTGAAAATATTGTCCTTAAAGCCTCTCCGCCCCTCTGCCACAGCTCACCGGCAGTAGTTCAGGGTACTTCACACCGATGTTAGTGAATAACATCTCACAGGCTTCTAGTTATCGTTTGCTCTACGCATGAAAGTTAAATTAGTGCTCATATTGTTTGCGTTTGTTAGGATTAACCCGCTCTATAACTTGACTTTTATTCCCGCTCTCTTTTAATCCTTGTAATCTGGCGCACAAACATACGGAAATAAGCATTCAAATAACTCATTAGCACAAAACTCAAGGCTTTGCAATTTTATCCTTCAGGTTCACCAGGGCGTGGTTTACGTTGATGAATGTAATTTCCACCTGGCTCACGTCCAAATCACCTGGCCGGAGGGTTTCAGTCCTCCCATGACCTCTCAGGCTGCTTGCATCTACCCTCTTCCTCCACCCTCGTCTACACCTCCTCCCCCACCTCCTCCTCCTCTTGCCATCGCAACCCAACTTAACACACAGCAGGCACTTCATGCCTTGGAAGCCTACCAAAAATCCAACTCTAATGGCAACGCTCCCAGGGTACCCGATTTGGCTCGGCGTCAGGTCTCTGTGGATTTTGGCGAACTGGTTTTACCTGCTTCAAGGAAGCCCCTCGATCTGCCCGATAGTCCAGCTGTCCTCTCTCCCATGACCGAGGAGTGTGTTAAGACTCTTGCCTCGGGTGCGTTTAGATTTGTCAAATTTGTCGCTTTCTTTCAATCTCATCAACGTAAATTTCCATATCTTTTCTAGGTGGCATGGCCTACTCCTCTTCCTCACCCATTTACCCACCCTCCATCTTCCAAATACCCCCCGTTGAAGTTGACGATGAGGCCTGTTTCAACACTGAGGCATTCAAGCAGCGTAACAGTGAGAAGGAAATCTCAACGGCGACGGCCATCACCACCCCTCCCACTGGCAGCGCTGGTCAGTCTTCTGCGTGGTCCATGGCGGAGGACCGTCGACTTCTCGAGTACTTCCGTGATGTTGGTCGGTGTTCGTCTCGACTCTTCCGCAAACTGGCCGCTCAATGGCCTGAGCGGTCGATGGAGGAGATGATGGCACGGTTTAAGTACCTCATGCTGGTCGCCTATGGCGAGGACTATAATATGGACTTGATCGGCAGCGATGAAGACTACGAGGGCGGTGATGGCAGTGGTGGCTGTGAAAGTAGTTGCGAAGGCAGTGGCAGCCCCATTGACTCGGACCGCGACATGGAGGAAGAGGAGGAGGAGGATTAGCGGACAGAAAAAACTCCTGATCCACAAACTGTACATTGGTTTGCCACAGGACTTCTGGGCGCAAAGTTTGTTTTACGCAATAATTATAGTTAATTGCCTCACTCTAGATTGACCTTTATCGTTCTCTCGACAGTGGCACATTGTTTGACGGTAAAGGAGGTTGTAAAGGTTGAGACGTTGCCTTTGTGGAATAAATAGAAAGCTTGATAATGATGTGAGGTGATGGCCTTACCTACAAAGCATGTGACTGGTGCGTACAAGGTACATAGTGTTTACCATGCAGGAGTCGATTTGAAATGGTTTTGCTTATCTGGAAGCTTCCATCGACGCTACTTTGAAGATAATTTGAGACTATGGGATTCGTATTTAATAAATGGTGGTTAGACATCATTAGGGACATTTTGAGCACAGTACGCATGGCATCCAGGTGTTTACCTACTTGCTCTGAGTGGCTTCATCTTGCCCATGTCTCGACAGTTAAGCGCCACTCCGATGTCGCGGATGAAGCGACATTGGTGTTACCGAATGAAATGATAGCCCGAAGCGCGCTGCTCAAGAGGTGGATAGATAGAGCCGGAGTCGCTGAGACCAACGGTAAAATCGGAAGCACTCTATTGCTTGCCTCTTGAAATCCCGATGATCAGGATGAAAGTGCTCCAGTAAGTTACTTTGATAAGAATGCTTTATTCTCCACGATCTAGCATTATTACACCTGCTATTTCCCGTCTCACACAACGCATTCTGATGCGCGAGTCCCACCATTGTTCCATTTATTGCGACTCCTACCACCACCACTTCTTAAGCGCATCCAATCACCTCTCAGCCGTAGGCTCCCAACCCTTGGGCAGCCAATAAACTGCGCCTATAAAAGGTCCGTTATAGAGCTGTTGCTATCTAACATGTGCAGGAGGGCATTATGGAGAAGTCCTTAATTTTTAACGACTATGGGAGCCTCCTGTTCCCGGCTTATGAGAACACCTATTCGGACTGCGGTGAGTACCCTTGCTCCAGTCGGGATTACCTCCGTGAAGGAAAAAGTGCCATTGAATACGCGACCTACGATGCACCGGGGTCAAATACGTCCGCTGCGGCTTGCCACTGGTTTGGAAGTAAATACAGTGAGTTATGGCTGGTATTTGTTTCTATTTTATTCATACATGGATTAATGAAACTAAACAGCTTAAGTGGGGTTCTAAAATCTTAATGTAATCCAGGTAGTTTTCTATGATAAAATACCGATTTTGTAGCCAACACGACTGTCGACTTCCTTGCCCAGATTCATTTCTTCATCAATGGTAGCACTAATTTTTTCGAAGCACTGATCCATTTGTAGCTCCCTGCTAACCTTCCAAGCTTTACTTATTAGGAGAATTATGGCTAAGATCCTCAACCATCTGGCTTCTTTGTTGTAAAGGCCGGTCTTTGGAAGTGGTGGTTATTTCAGTTCTTAAAGGCCGCTTGAGCCTTGCTTTCCTTTTTTATTCTGTCATCACCCGAAAGAGAAATTACAAAATATTTGGGCATTCTTTCCTCCAGCGCTTCGAGTTGAACACATACTGGTTAATTTAAGGCTTTGATTCTGTGCCCTCAAGTTGTCATCGTAATTACAACAATACCCACAAGTTACCTGATAAATCTCGATGTGAACATAAGGGAGAAGTTAGAATGCTGCTGAGCTTGAAATGAGCCATTATTTTGATGTGGTCCTTACAAATGCTTATTGATTCTCTAGTAAAGCATTATTTAGGAATATACTGAAATTTTGTAACACTTGTAACCGGCCTCAGACGCAGCGGACTCGCCTATCACCATATCTCTCATTTGTCTCACTAAATGGGGGCAGTTTGTTCAGTCCAAACACCATGTTTACTCAGGTCCTACATTTCCCTTCTCCCTCCCCCTCCCCCATCTGCCTTAATATCTCGCCTTATCATCATGGGTAAACAGAAGGGAGGCTTGATTAGACTTGTAGCAGGAGTAGCCGAGAGAGAGAGAGAGAGCACGGGTGGACTGTTTGCTCGCAAACAGAGTTTGCTTCTGTGAAGTTAGCACAGCTGTCAGACGCCCCCATTACCGTCGGGTTGTTCTCACAAACCTACTCTAATTACATTCAGCGCGGACGTTTTTCATCCATCCTAGTGGTGTTGCCATCCTTTTCCACTTAGGTTTTGCAAAAAACTGACCTTAGTTAAGGATTCACAATTTTATCGAACTTGGGCTATTAAATAGTTTTTCAGTGATAAAATCAAAGATATTTCCAGCGACGAAAACTACCCCCTTTAGTCACGAATATTCAAAACCAGTTATTACCACAATAAGCAACACAAAGTGACTGAGCAAAATGAATGGATGAAATGTCCAACTATCTTGCCAATTATTCTTTCCTTCTAAGGCAATTATGAGTCGCGACCACTGCCACCCAACCAATCGCCAGAGTGCGCGAGTTGTGGGGCCACCGATATCGGCGGTCGCTTCTGGGTGTCACACAGTGTCCCTGGGGTGGCTCTCTGCGAGACCTGTCAATTTCAGCATCACCAACAGTCGCACCATCAACACCACCAAATTATCTCTCAAAACATTCAATGGTGTGACTACACCTTCGCCAACAGTCTGGAGGAATTAAGTGGGTTTACTACTAAACATGCTATTGAACTTAATGTGGCAGTTTTAGCATAGAAAAATGGTTGCATTGACAAGTTTTGAAGCTTCATTCCAAAATAGAGTGCAATGATTAATTTACCGTTGATAAGTGTCGATATCCACAGGTGTTTTGATTTGACCAACTACTGCGAATGTCGCCTACAACAGCATTATATTAATTACAAGAGATAATGCCGGATTTACAATAGGAAAGAAGAAATCTCAGGGAGTACAAACAGCATCCATGCTCTTATCTCCCGCTCAAATATTTGACTGCGCATGAGCGTCTCGTCATTTCCTTCCTCTGTTCACGGCGTGCCATTGTTGCCCACCATCTTGGTTAACGGTGCTGGGATGACAAATGCGTTGACTACTCGGAAAAACTTGTCACTCACTACACTATTCGGTACTGCCACGTTATCATTCCTTCCTAGATCTGTGGGAGTTGAGTCCTACTCGGACTTAAAAAAGCAGTCAGCTTTTTAATATTTAGCGTTTTATAAAGGGATATTATCTCAGATTTGATTAGATTAACTAGTTATTGCAACACGCAAAAACTTGTTTCACGATGACTCAAAATTAAACTGAAGTGACTACAGTCGCGGTTTGGCCATAACTACTTGACCGCTGTGTCAAGTCGCTACGACCGCCATGGAGGCCAGATAGTTTTGTCAGGTGAATAGTGCTGGTGCTTACAGCAGCAAGCACGGTTACTTTGAGGTTTCTGTGACGGTTGCTACGCCTGGATGCATACGCATGCAGATTTGCGGAGCAGAATTAAAAACACTTTTGATTCTCCAAGGGTAGCCCGTTACTGATTTGCACTAGTGTATAGTTATTACGATATCCTCATTTTACAAGGACGACTTCACCGCTTTTTTGCCATTTCCCAGTTTATAGAAAAGCCTAACAAGTTAACCACACATTGAGGCAACGACATTAGTGCATGAATCAGGGAGGAGGGAGACGGGAAATTGAGTACTTCGATGAGCTTGAGCAAAGCGGAAATGGGGAAATCATAGTTTTATTTCTGAATTTGTGGCTCTTGCACCTTCAAAAGGCACTCAGCATTTTACTAAAGGTCCGGTGGACTTGCCGTGGCTCGTCGATGCATTATTCACGTGTGAATCTCAAAAAATGTAGTCCTAATGTCTTAAAGTATTTCTCAAGAAGAAAGTGCGCGAAAGATTGCTCAAGAGGTGCAGTTACGAATGTCGGTGGACGTTTCGGGTTGATCAATTCTTGGAATCATGCCTTAAGGCGTCCACATTTCACGCTCAGCTTCAAGTGTCTAGTTTTGGCATGGAATTCGTCCATTTGCACGGATAAACTCATTCAAACAAGTTCAACGCGATAAATGGTACTTCACGAAGGTGTATGAGGCTTAAACTAGTTTAGTAAGCCCAGAGGGGGATTTGATGTCTAGTAGCAGAGACGTAAAAATGAGATGGCAGTGCCGTCATTTAACTACCTAAGCTGTGGCACTTTTATGGCCTCACGCTCCGGTCCTTTAAGGTTACTGCTACATGTAAAACAGTGCTAAAAAATGTTTTACTTTCTTGATGTAGAGTAGCGTTAATTTTAGTTGCCTGGATAGTTAAATCAGCTCGAAGGGATTCAACTAGCTAGGCATAAACCGTGGCATCTACTTAATCAGATGAATCAGTGATGAGGACGGTGAAGTCAAGGTCTTTGGGGATGCTATGCGAGGACAAAGTGACCATGTTCGTCGTATTACTGCTGAATACTTCACCTACTCTAGGAACGGCATTCCAGTGCCCCAAGTAGGCTCGTCATAGTACGCAGACCTCGTTCGCACAAGACACTTTCAAGCAGACGTATTTTCGTAAAAACCGGACGATATTTCATTCCTCCAAGGACGCTGTTCCGTGTGAAATGGAGCCCCGAAGTCTGTTTGAACTACTTAAAGGTGATGAATAGTCTAACATGAGTAAAATCATTAACTCTATTAAATGAACGAACAATTAAACCTACCTCGCAGTAGTTGAATGGCTCTTCGAATCACAACTCTGTCACAGGACCCCATTAGTTCATCGCGGTAAGCAGCTCTCAAGCATGTGATTTCTAATTAAAATATTTCAGCTTTTGGTAATTCTTCGTATCACTAATTCTTGTCCCATCCAAATATTCCTAAAAACGAAATAACTGTAGCGCTCTGAGACTTCTCTGACGGTGGAAGAAGTCTCGGACTGAGGGGCACTGACATGGGACCCGATGGCCTTGCTGCGGAGCTTTAAGTGCTCGTGAAACCAAACTGAAGAGCTGAACTAGCAATCAAAGTAGTACACAACCACTAATTTGATGCATTGGATGTCTAAAACGACAAAAACATTAAATCAGCGGAGGGAGTTCAAGTTCCCATCATACAAAGTTAAATGGCAACGACGATAGCTGCAGCTGTACCGCCACATTTACTGCCGGCTACTTAGACAATGTTCCGTTTCTTCTTTTAAAGAATTTGTGGGAGATCAGTCCACTTTTGTTTATACATCATATTTTGAAATTGTATTACCTTCCATTTCTCTAAAGACCTGGACTAATTATGATCGGAGGCTAAGGTTATCAAAGTCGCAGTTTAGCTGACAAAATCTCCACCCTCTTTTTCATGGACAACATATTTCCTCTCCTTAAAAGTGCCTGGAAATGGGACATTCCTATCGCCAACAGAACAGCCGGAGGAAAAGGATGTGGAAGAGGAGGACACTAAGGGAGTGGACTGCTGGACCTCACAACGAGGAGCAAGGGACACCTCGGAATCCGCTTGTCCCGATGTCTCCCCATTCCTTCTCTGGCCAGTTTCTAACAAGCAACTGAAACAGGATCTCAGCGCTTGGGAATTGGTGGGATGGTGTCTATGTTATACTTTGGTGTACTTGGAAAAGATTAATCGACTCACTGATGAGAGAGGAGGTCCTGGGTGGTTTCCTTCCAATACAAGCAAGCATATTAGTGTCCCTGAGTTATGGAAACAAAACTAATTTACCCTTGAATGGTGTGCCAATGGTTACGGCAATGTAATTGATCACAGGAGTCGCTCTCCATTTAATCTTTTACCAAACTCAATTGTGAATTTATTTCATGATGATGGTGAGAAGTTGCTGCAATGCTTGAGGTTCCACTTTGGATAATTTCATTGATGGCTGCACCGTGCCGACTGTTTTTTACTGAAAAAACCTATGAAAGGGAAATCCTAGCCTTTATTTTACTTATTTTGTAAAAATTACCATCTGGTGGTTAATTTGCTTCCAAAGACGATTCTGACACCCGCAAAAAGACCGGGAGATTAGTAACAATATAGAGGGAGATTAAGAGGTTAGGTGTCTTTAAAATAAAGGGGCAAAATTTATATTTTCAACTTTTTCTTTAAAAAAATGTCTATGTTAATCAATTGAGCGTGGCTTGGTCTCTGATTTCAATGCGTAAAAGAGTACTCCCACCTTGCGGAAATAATTTTTTGCCCCTCTGGCGAATACGAATGTGGCTCGTGATCATGACCTAGCCACAAAAACACTCCATTGGCATATGTTAGAGAAAAGCATTTCCTAGACCCGTGTCTCCCACTCCGCCTCCCACTCCATCTGTTGTTTTTTTTCGCCTCCCAATGCCGGCTCACCTGCCAGACTGCTGACATGTGTGCACAGCGCACGGGGCAGATTAGCTAGCAAAACCTTCCTCCGCCAACGTATCTGTGGTTTTAATTAACGTGTATGGACCACCACAGCCATGACTAATTTCCCTCTTTCGTTTCCTCTTCTGCAACCTAGCTTGGGATGTTGGCATACTCCTGTCGTAAGCCAGAGAGGGTCACGGTGTGTGCCAACTGCCAGACCTCGGCAACCACCCTCTGGAGACGAAATGTGGAGGGTGAACCTGTGTGCAACGCCTGTGGCCTCTACTTTAAATTACACAAGGTGAGGATACACCTTACTCTCTCACTGGTTGCTGTAGCGAATGACTGGCGTGGGTAGTTCACGGTCAGAGGCCGTGGTTTGAGTATGTTGTGCATATCTCAGGGGTCGTTTCATAGCGTTATCTGCAGCCCTCACACAACGTAGTGAGAGATGAATAAATAGGGATGTTTGAACCGGAGACCGTTACCAGAACAGGAAAGTTAGATCGGCTATCTACCAGAACAGTAAAGCTTCCACTAGCCCTGTGTTCACTACTTGGCAGACTACAGAAGTTAGCATTTTCCCCTGCCACCGAGATCTTTTCAACCAGTCCTTGAGACTCAGTTTTGGTATGTTATGCCGTTATCACGGGTTGTTTCAGAGTGGTCACTGAGATATTAGCTGGAGAAAAGCGAAGCTTTATACACTTCCATGAAGGTCGAGGCAAAGCAGTGATCGCAGCACTTACTACCAGCAGATGGGGTAGTACACGCGTAAAATTGTACATAAATCTTGGTGAGGTAGACTAGTTTCTTTCATTGTCGTGGTATTATATGCCGTAGACTACTTCAGGCGGACGTATGTTACTTGTGCCAGTTCCAGCGTGTATTCAGTGCAGGTTGTTTCGCAGTACATCTGCTCAATGATTTCATTTGGCTTGCAAATTCCCAATTCATGCACTCGGAACTGTAGCCTTTTTTATCACCTCCCATTGTTGGAGCTTAAGCTTAACAATTACCATCGGACACATCGCCACCGCAGAGGAGAGCCGCTAGAGATTCACTTAAGTCCCATGAAATGCTCTTATTATCAGGCGAAAAAGACTTATGGGGACGTGTAGCATTAGGATGGGAGATATTTTACGTGAATGAACTTAAATAGGTTGAAATATTGTCTTTTACTGAAGCACCGCTAATTTTTCAAGGTTATGCATGATACATTTTCTCGATCTTTGACCTTTTCGAATTGGGCCGATCTTTCCCCACCCCCGTGGAGGGATGAATAAGTCGAATTATTGTGAATTCTGTCCCAAGTAATTAACTGTTGAGGTGGCAACCCTTATTTTATGCATCACCGCCAGAAAAGTACACTTCTTCAACCCGACCGAATTATTTGCGAACAGCTTTTAAGGCACAGTTTAGGCGTGTATTTGTGATTTCATCCAATTGGCATTATCTTGAGATGTATTTAGCTAGTAAGTAAATATGAATTTGCGCCTTTCCTACCGGATGATAATTCGAACGTTTCGGATCGGGTAAGGAGAAATTGAGCACCCGCCCAAAACATCAGGCTGCGTCGGGTTATTTTCATTACATCTAGGTATATTCACCTACAAACCACTTCTAGACTGACTCGTTGGCATGTAAATTTCGACGACCACTATGATACAGTGAGGACCAATTCGCAGTGAGATGTCGAAGTTGGTACTCTCTCTCTCTTCGTTTTGCTTAAAGAAATTCGACTATCTTCAAGCTGTTTCATGTGCTGGTCATGTTTTTGGCAGAGTTAGGTCCAATAACTGCCACTATGAGCTATTCAAAGCCAGAGAAGATAGGCTCCTACTGAATTATAGAGAAGCCTAACGTAGGTGGTGAGTAGAAGGCAGATTTACGCACAAGGGGTTGCAGTATGAATAGTCTAACTATAAGACAACTTTTGACAACCCTGCGACGTGTCAGGACATTATAAAGGTCCCATTAATAAATGCATAACTTAGCCTTGGTTCACATTGATCCTCAGGCGGTCGTGTTTTGCCCTCGTGGTGCACGGTATAAAGTTGCTATCCTGCAAGTAAAACAAAAATCTGAGAAATAACTCACAATTAAAAATGAAGACAACTTTCACCGCTTCTCTGCTGGATAGAGGACCTCCGTCCTTGCATCCGTCATGTGAGGAGCACGCCCCCAAAGGGAATTTGCTTTTTTTAATAGGTTACCCGTTTACTTATCCAAACGCAAATTATTTTCAGGTTAATCGTCCTCTTTCGATGAAGAAGGAGGCTATACAGAAACGGAAACGAGGAAAAAAGAGATCCAACAGACAGGAATCCTGCCGGCCATTTCTGCAACAGGTACGTTTACCCTAGTATTCGGTCAGGAACTTTGTGGACATCTTGGCCCGGGAAGGTGAAGCTTACACTGAAAAGTGGAAACTCATCACTAGTTCAGCTCAACGTTTGGCTTCCAATTTAATCGTGTCGCTCACTCCAAAAGGCACTTTATTCGCAATATATCTTGAAACACCTTAACGGCCTTGGATGGCCATTTTGAATGAACAGTTGGAGACGATGAATCCGAGTGTTTTAAATTGCCATTCTCCCCTTCCAGCCCACGGAAAAACACCGAGTTGAGGGCTCAAGTAACTTCCGAGAGACGAATGAAGCGTGCGACCGACATATCAACGACGACTACTTTCTTTTTGGACCCTTTCCTCCACGATTAGCAGCCAGCGGCCCCACGAAAGCCGACGAGGAGCAGGGCAAAATCGCTCACAGCTACATGGACACGGCCTACTTCCTGCCCAATTGAGTCTTTCAGAGGGCATTTTGCAGGGAATCCCCTACCCAGTACACAGACATGCACATTGGCACTGGCCTATTAAAACCCTTTCCTCGTCCCCTTTGTGCCCCTTTAAAGTAACTGACGGGTGAACAAGCTTAACTCACAAGTGCTTACGAACCTTTGTGGCGGATGGATAATCAACCTTCGAACAAGAAGAGTCCTCCCTGTTGATGGTCGCAATAGAGAACCGCTAGCCTCTACCACGAACCACACAAAATTATGCCTAATTAGTCGATCTACACACTCATGCCACATTTATTAAAATTGGGAAGGTGAGGAGTGAGCACGCAGCTTAAACAAGTAAGCGGAGGTCACGATGGGGAGGAAGGGTGTGGGGCAGACCAGCACGACACGACACAACACCAAGGGAAGCGACGTGACGCGTCAATTTCAGTGGTGAGGCTGTGGGGGACCGCTTGAAGCCGCTGAACCTCCCTGAGGCGGTTGAGGTGGGGGAATGCCTCCGGGAGCACCAGAGCCGCTGTTGGCGCCGCTACTGCTACTGTGTGGTTGCTGTTGCTGTTGTTGTTGCTGCTGCTGTTGATGCCATGCTTGCCACGCTTGCCACTGTTGCCATTGTTGCCACTGCGCGTAGTCGCTCTGACGGCGGAATTGACACGCATGATTTTCTCAAACTTATCTCAATACCTCCCGACTAACGATTCAGTAAGTAATCTACCTGCTGGCTTGGATCACCCGGATAGCTGCCGGTTGATTGTGGTCCGCCCTGCTGAACGTTCGAGTGCGCGCCTGATGGCTGACCGCTTTGGCTAGGATGGGAAACTGGGGCAACTCCAGTTGGGGCGGTGCCGGGCTGAGACGACGGGCCAGCGCTCTGCTGATATTGCTGAATTTGCTGCTGCTGAGCCTGCCGTTGAATCATATCAGCGTATTCATGCATGCCCTGCCTGCGGTAATACTCAATCCACGCAGCACTGTAATCGGGTTGACCGGTATGCGGATTGAACGTCGGTGCGGGCATGCTGGAAGTCCAATCTGAAAGGCACACAAACGCGAGCACAATGAAAACAAGAAAACAACACCAGTTGAACCCCTCCAGCTAACTATTAACCACCATCCCCCAAACAGGGCCTCGTCTTCCCCTCACCGGCGAAATTCAAGTGCATTTTATATGGTGGAAGCAGATGGACACGATCAATGTAATGTACAATGAGAAATAACAAGTGGAACAGAGACACGTATAATCAATTGGCGAGAAGTCAATAATCGTAAATCAAACCTGCGAGAGGTTTATGACGGTAGAATTCCGTACGATATTTTCTGCTCGTTCAGCTGCCTCTTTGACCTAGCGATGATAGTCGGCTCAACCACTCATTTTGGTGGTGGCGAACCTACGAAAAGATGAGCCTCTTACCTGACTGGCCATAACCGAGCTGTCCCCAGAGGTTGGAGGTCGATCCAGAAGTCGGCCTTGAGATGGGGATACCGGCGCGCTCAGAGATCATTCTTTATTGTTGATGATGATGAGGTAGCCCAGACATATTCAGTTATTCGAAGGCATGGTAATTGTTTATAGGGGAGCAGGATATTCACCAAATATATGAAGAACAATGAAAACGAAAATGGCGCCGGTTAAGGAATAAATATAACAAAAATCTGCTACCTAATCTCATCCGGGCCAAAAAACGCTCCAGTCTCATGACTTACCTATCGTGTTTAATTCTTCAACAAAAACTACATATGTACAAATCGCTTAAGTAAATTCAGTCATGAAACATGTGAGATAATAAATGTAACTGAAGGAGCCAGTAAGGAGACAGAATATACAGGTAACCTAACTCGAGAATTGGGCTAAAAGGAGACTTAGACGAGCTACAAAGATTAAGTAGACTGAGGTTAAATAATACACAATGAAAGTGTGGTAACGTTCCAAAATATTAACAGCCCGGAATACAACAAAATAAGGGAGTAAACACCTTATAGCCTGTTCAATTTCGTTAGGATTGCCACGGATGTTGAAAATCTTGATTGATGGGTCTGGAGGAGGCTCCTTTGAAATCTCAACATGAGCTCCACTGACTCGACAGATTTCTTTTATGGAATCACCACCTTTGCCGATGACCAGACCAGCTTTTTCAGCAGGAACCGCATATCGCGTGATCTCCGCGTTTTCAGACAAATTACCCACACGTCCACGCTGTAAGAGTGGAATAAAACAAAGAAGACCGAGTTACCGTGATTATCTCGATCACGAGCGCTTTAACCCTCTCAATACGAGCTGGATCACCAGTTATACGCAGTGGTTTATCTTCCACAGTTGGTGCACTACTCTGCTGAATCAGGACCATCTTAACCCCATTTTCTTCTTGAAGTTGCTTGATTGTTTCGCCATTTTTGCCAATGACTAGTCCTGCTTTAGAACCAGGAATCATCATTTCAACCGTTGATATTGGCCCACTGGGAGCATAAACAGTCGGATTGGCTATGTGTTGATAATTCAGAGGAGAGGGCTGACCACCCATTCCGGACTTCTCAGCTCGATCAATGATGTCATTAAGCAACTGCTTCGCATGTCTATAAGAGTGTTTCAATGACCCAAGAGAACTTACACTACTTGCTGTGGAGTTCCCGTCAGAGTAACAACCCGCTCCGGCCGACCACCCTCTATGTAAGATGTCATAAAGAAAAAGCAAAAAACTGACCCTGAGATATCTGAACCTTGCAGTTAGATTCATTTTGAAGGGCTGTAATCTGTTCACCCTTTTTACCGATAACTAAAGCGGTAAGATAGGAAGCCAAACTATTACCTAGACCAACAAAACGGTCTGGAATGGTCGTTTCAGTTGTAATTTGCCGTGCTGGTGAGTTTTGCTGGGCTGTGGATACTGCGCCGCCTGTAAGCTTTTGACTCAACCTCGCGGCGGCTTCATGGGCAGCTGCAGCAGCCTTGTCAGTGTAAGGGCGTTTTTCAGCCGATGGATATTGGCCCATAGAATCGGCTGGTCGCTTTCCCCCAGCATACGCCCCATTTGGTTGCCCATCGTCAGGGGTAGAAAATTTTGAAACAACCTAAGACACTCAGCTCCATAGAAATTATACCATTTTAGCACGTTCTATAGCAGTTTCGTACGCGTCATTATGCGACATTCTTACGAGCAGCGAGATGAACAAAGAGTGGGTTCAAACAACTTAATTACGCGATTAACAGGAAAACCTGCAAATGCTTTCAACCTAGCTAAATACCCCCCGCGATTATTTACGCACATTTTTCGTCCCTATTATTGATGTTTAAGTTATCTATTATGGTAAATCAAAGCGATTTATCAAATGACGATAAAAGCCGAGAGGAGGAGGGTGGAACAAAATGAAGATGATCTCAGGTCTGCATTCCTACTAAATTTCTGACTCTTTCACTTAGTAAAACATAAAACTGAAGCAAATGGTAATTTAAGAGGCAGAGGGATATCATACACAATAAACAGAATGAAATAACCAAAAAAGGCTTAAATTACCTAAACAAATCCGACAGATATTAGTTTTTCAATTGTCGAGATAATTATTTGCTATTTTAAATGCACTTATTCTTGTAACAAAGAGTCTTTTTTGACTTGAAATGTTCTGACCACTTGGAATGGATTTATATCATCATAAGTCAAGTGCCTAGACTCTTCTCCGAGTTCTTAACCCCTTGTACTATTAACGGGTATGCAGCAGTGGCGAACAGCATAGAAGGAGTTCCATGTGTAAAGACTGGTCTGCTGCCGTAAATAACCACGCGGTTCAACTAAATATGAAGCCGGTAAGTGCTACCTTCCTTCTTTGGAGCATCATCTTTGGCACTCCGCTAGGCCGGACTCTTGCATTGATCGTAACATAGCAGCTGGTGCTTTAAAATCAACCACGAAGCAGGAACGCTAGCCCTTGAATTTTTGCATGAGATGATGCAATTAATCCTGCATCACCAAGGCACCTCGATAACTCCATTCTGCTCGTTATCTCGTCTTGCTTGTGAGTTGTATTGGAAGAAGGGTGTACGGTGGATACATACTGCCAAAAATCAGACCGTACTCCTTGGTACGGCATCTCCCATGGCAATCGCTAGCCGTCAGAGTACTACCCCAAAAAACAGAGCCAGTTACTAAAAGATAAGATGTGAAATAGCTTCGTGGGGGTGGTTTTTCACATCCATTCCTCCCGGCCACTTTGTTTGCATTCTGGCGCTACCTAAGCGTTTGTCGTAGATCCCATTGGTCATGCGTCGTCTGTTTACGCACCTACCGTCTCTACACAGGCACAGTAGACAGCTTCACCACAACGGGCATTTCCAAATGGTCTAAGTCTGGTGTGCTCTCAGATGTTAATATTATTCCTGTGGATTGGGATAATTGCCAGATGTACGCATCGCTTTAAATCTTTCTGTTATGCGTCCTTAAAGATTCACTCATCCGCTGTAGATATCATTCTTCTGTGAAAAAAATGCTAATGCATTTAGCTATTAAAATAATGAAAATTGCTCCTCTGGATCAGATTTGCTTACCACTGCCTCCAACGTAATGCCCCAAGCCTTCGCTAAAGTCGTGATAAGCCAAAGTCTTATGGAAAAGCAATATACAGACGGATTGGCAGGTTATTAGCATGTCCCACCAAGTCGCTAAAGTAACTGCTTAAAGCGTCGCGATGGATATGCAGACTCCAGCAATTATGCCGGCTTCAGTCGCATAGAGGGGCACGGTCTTTCTTAAAGACTCTCGTTCGAAGTCTTCACCTTGCTAGGGTTCCAAAAGCCCTAGTGGTAAACAAGCAGGATCTCACAGACGTCCTCTCTGTAACTCAGATGTAAGAACCCCTTGATATGGGAGGACCTTCACCCCTTCCAGATACTTACATCGTACACTCGTGGCAGTGAACGAAACCTACCTTAAAGGACAACTTCCCTAATTTACACTGGTGGGCAATAAACCCTAGTGTGACCGAGAATATGTTCCAACTCCCAACAGAAGAGTTGAAAATGACCTTAACCCTTGACAGCTACCCCAGTCCCACCCGTAAACCATCAGGAAGAGTTCGCACCGGATCGGTCTGCCACACCTGTACGAAGATATCAATTATGTGAAATAGCGATGCCTTCTCCAATTCTCTTTTAGCTGGACAACCTTCAAATAGGCATGACTGGGCAGTTCTGAAGTGAGTACAACGTGCCAAGGAGAAAAAGAAGCCAAATCCTACTCCACAAAACTACATTTATTCCCAACCTTGATTAATCGACTGTGCTTTTAGACCAGTGTTCCTACAACTAGCTATGGACCCGCGTGATGTCTAGTAAATTCCTTCTTCCCTTAATACAATTCCTGAATAGGTCAAAACTTCAGATCTGGTGGAAATGCCAAGAGGAATCAGCGACGTTGCGGTCAGATACCTTCTCACTTGCATGGATATTCGATGACTAGCACTGCGGGCTAATGGGTGTTCTTCTGACAACAACGATCACGTTGTACTGGAAAGTTGACCAAAGGGGGAGCTGGGGAGGACGATCAAAAGAGAAGAGGATATTTATAATACTCTGCTTGTTTATTAACTCTAGGGTTCGGTAACAGGCCACTTAGAACTCCACCACTGTACCTCCGATAGGCGGCCTGGCTTCCGAACCAAGCCAGTAGCCGCATTTCTTACTGAACGTCGACAAAAAACATACTCCCCCTTAATTTATCTTCAGGGAAGTCTCAGAGCTCTACAGTAGGATCGCTTTTAAAAGCTCAAAGGACCATTTCCTTCTGTACAAATAACTCACGACTAATGACGTCTGCTATTTCCAGTACAACTTCTTATCAGTTGTCTGTCCATGGCAAGTGATACTTTTCATCATACCAGAACGGAATTATTTGATCCTCGTGAAAAGTGAATATCATCTCTAAGGTACTTATTAAAATGTGTTGGTTTAAGTGAGGTCACCCGTATCATGATGGGATGGCAGGACACTTATCCGTGCTGACAACTGCCTGGGCAGTTAATCTTTCCCTCATAAAGTTTGATGCCTACGAGACCACTGGCATAAAGTTGTGTACCCACAGATGGCATTACGCTTTAAAAAATAACTGCAAAAACTAAATGTTTATTCAAAAAGTAAGCTAGCTAACTGAAACGCCTTCACCTAGCGATGATTCCGACATCCTTGGGAGGACTCATACAATTTGTCATCTGCACAATCGGTTCAAACAACAAGTGGTTAGCCAAGAAACTAATATAAAGTGACCTCCAGACGGCATGACTAGTTGACATTCTTGTTGACGCTAGAACCTAATAGGCAGAGCCCAATGTGAAAAATGCATGTGGGTGCTACTACAAGAATTAGGATGACTACTCACTGACTCAAGCAAATGAAAGGAGTACCTTTATTTTCTCAAGGGCAAAAGCACCAACGGAGGAAGTGAATCAAGAGCTCCTCAAGGATGGAAGTACCTGTGTCGGAGATGTATGTTTGATCGGATTACTGACACACATGGATTTAATTTATTCAGGGATGACGAGGCTCTACTAGGACGGATAATTTTTGCCCGCCGTACTGCTTACACAGCCTATTCCTTCAAAATGTCATCAAATCTCATCTTCAATGCTTCCATTAGTGAAATCTATCCATCCATATTCTTCATGTGGGACACTAGGAATACAGACGACATTGTAATGACCTTTTATCTAATCGTTATAAAGCATTGAGTGCTACTGTAAGATTGCTCTATTAACAGCCTTAGCAAAATCCTAAACTTTACTATTTGGGCTTTGCTGACTTGATTGGCAAGCTCATAACAGCCTCCGGCACACAGACCCAACCACTTTACGCCACCTCAGGTAAGCCATTTGGAGTGAATTCTTCTTCCCATTTATAATCTCTCTCTTATCACCGTTATTGTTGTTAGTAAAATTGAATAAATACTATCAGCAAATAGAAAACACATGCCTATGCTGTGTAAACAAATGTAATGCATGCTCGTTAGAAGGTGTGGGTGGAGACGATAGGTAGCGACGATCTTCTTGGTGAACTCGAACACCATTGGCCCCGCTGAGAAGGAGGAAAAGGACCCTGAACACGCCTAAATCATGACACCTCTGTACGCCTATTAGAACTTGTCCTCGGCCAACTTGTCCACCCTTTCCAAGGGTATGAACGCTGAGGAGGATGAGAGAATCACGGGACCTACTGTACTAATACAATTAGCGTTGTTATGATTTATGCGATGTTCACTTCGAAAAACTCCTCACAGAACCCTGAGTCTCGTACATCCTTAATAATAAATTATTTCCTCACAGCAAAGTAAGAAAACTAGTACGCATTAATGTGGGGGTATTAGCACAACCTCAGAAGTGATTATTAATTTTATCCTTTTTTTCTACATGTAAAGACTAGGAAACTGGAGGTGGGATTAAAATTAGTAGGGTATTCAGTATGTCCGGTTTACCTAAAACCCATAGGATTCCGCCACGCTCCCGTTGACTGTGGCTTGATTACCAACGTTCCTGTTAGGCAGTGTCAAAATGCTAGAGAGACAGCTAGCCTGCTATTAAGCATCCTGAATCTTCCTTGAAGACGAAAGAAGACATAGTATTCATGAGGACTATGTATTACTGACGTATGGAAGGCCTGAGGAGATACTGGATTGGCCCAGTGATCATGCCATCCGGCAGGGGTACAATAGCGGAGCCCCTCAGTGGTCTGTTACCAAAACTGGGAGTTGAACAATCAATCAGCGTCGATGAGATTTGGGAAGAACGTGTTCTAAAGTGCATTTCTTGACTGTAGAAACTTTTAAAATGGACTTAAAATCTCCTTTTCTCATTTGGGTGACCTCGTCATTGACTGATTCCACCTCCCCTCTCCGACACGTTTACAATGTCATTGGTCGTGAGTCAGAGACAAGAACCCCCACTGAAATAAGTAATCAGAGATCGCAGAATGCGTAATAAATCATGCTGACAGAAGTCAACACACGTATTGTGTACGCTTTTAAAGCTCTGAAAATGCAGAAAGAACCTAGAATTCAATTAAACTCATTTCACAATTATCGCTTATCATCATTTCCGAAAAATGAAGCCAATTTCATAAATTGCGTGACAGATAACCATGGCCAACTGAAAGGATGAGATGCACTCCCTGAAATTGTGATCACAGTTTTCACGATGCCTCTGACATCTTCACAGTTTTTCAAAACCTTGTCACTAGGCTCACGCATGCTTGAGGCTCGCCTGTTGACAAACGCGACTCGCTAGCCTACGATAAGTGTGCAAAATGACATTGCAAGGAAACTGATTAGGTAGAAAACTCTTTAACAGGGTAAAATGCGCTTAAATTGAGGATAATTACACTGCTTAACTTTTGGCCAGCAGGTGAGTTGACAACTGGTGCCTATACTAGGCCAATGAACATTTTAGTTGTGTTGGTCAGTTTGCACAATGACATTTGACCTGAGTTTCCTATAAGGAGTGCACACTCAAAATATATCTACACTATACTAAAAAGGTTGATGATTATCAGCAGGAAACTTGCACGGCATTACGCGCGCACCATTGCATAGCTGTTGTAGCCAATCACAACACGACCTTGAGGGTGCTTTAAATATAAGCATCAACTCACTCACCAGGATGACATTCGCAACGCACAGGCACGTTGAAATGGGTAATATTGTTGAAGCTGCCGGGAAGCTCCGTACCGGTCCCGAACCCCAACGGGTTGTAATGCTTGGTCTTGATGCTGCAGGCAAATCAACCATTCTCTGTAGCATGAATTTGGGCAACAACACCACAGTGAAGCCCACCATCGGTTTCAATGTGGAGGAGGTCCGCATACCAGGAACACGGGTCTCCTTTGTGGTGTGGGACCTTGGAGGGCAGGAATCACTTCGCATAATCTGGCGCCAATACCTTCAGGGCATCTCAGGCCTTGTCTTTGTGGTGGATTCCGCCGACGTCAGCCGCATAGAGGAGGCACGGTCTTGCTTACATGATCTCCTTCGGAATCCTCACCTTGCTGGAGTACCAATAGCTCTGGTGGCGAATAAGCAGGATCTTACAGATTCCCTCTCTGTAACCCAGGTGGAGGAACTCCTCGATATGGGAAGACTTTCACCCCTTCGAAATCCTTACATCGTTCGACCGACCATTGCATTGAGCGGAGTGGGAGTCACACAACTCTTTGTTGACTTTGCCAAGTTGGTGAGGTTACAGGAGAAGCGCTGGGCTACGTATACTCGTCGAAACTCCACAATGAGCTCCGCCTCCGATGAGTCCGGTATTCGCCGAAGTTGGAAGGCCCGATTGTCTGCACGCGTACCGCATATATTTAGACGCAGTGGTGAGACCTCGGTGTGAAGTAGCCTCCGTGTTCATAACTCACATTTTATTCCTTTTTATCCGAGAGCATTTAACCAGCCCCCTCCCCTTTCGGCATTTTTGTGCCTCCGTCTCACATCCGTTGTACACATGACATTTTTCAAGCTATATCTGAAATAACACACTTTAACATGAAATTATTTTCTTCCTAACTCCTCTACTGGCCTTGGTTATAAGGATAGCGAACCTTGTCACATAGTCTCATCGTGTAACCTGCCAGCTGGCATTGCTAGCCCACGCTGCAGTCTGGTAGGCCGCGTTGGCGTAGTGTAGTTTGCTGAAAGAAGTGCCTTGACTAGGTAAACCTTCATTCAGTTTTTTCAGGCCTAAAGGCAACGAAGAGGAAGAAAAAAAAGGCGGATAATACGTGGTAGAAGGAGGCGGTCTGCCAACTGCAGTCCATGCACCTAGCAACCACAACCCTCGACAGCTTACCAGGCAGAAGAGGTGAGATGCCTTTAACCTACGAATTGCCCATTGTAAGGAAGGTGAAAGTGGCTATAAAACTCTCGATGTTAATATACACAGTGAAATTTAATGAGAGCACTGAACTCGTTTTGGTTGCCTATGGTTCCGCTGTCCCCATTCACTCTCGCCTCCGCCTCTCATGAAACTTTTTTTGAATGACACGATATTCTCAAGAGTCATCAATAACAAGGCCTCTTTCTGTGCCTATTCAATCTGAAGCACCAAAACTTTAAGGGCTGTCAAAGTATTTTCCACTTCATATGTGAATGCTGCCATGTAGGCGTCAGTAGTGCGGCACTTGTTGAGTGATTTTCCACTGCTCTACTGGCGAGGGTTCACCAGTACCCCGTGTGGGTCACACCTCTCTCAAATCGTGTATGAAAGCTAAAAAAAAGCAAATTTAGTCTTTAAAGTCAAATGGCATTGCAAATTGAGGAATGCTTTAGCAATTTGTTTTTATTTCAATACCACCGCTTGTGCAAGTGTGTTCTCAATGGTACCTTGAAATCTGAGGCGATAGCTTTGCCTTGTGTGGGATATTTCCGTCCCACGATCGTAAAACCGAGAAAATATGAGTTTCTTGTGAAAAGTGATTGCCTTTACAGTCGGCAAACTTATTTGTAAAACCTTGTAGAGAGAAATAAACCGGAGAAAATATCGTTAAAATGTCAATTGCTCCATACCCACAAAATGTCGAGATGCCGCTTTTCACCCTGCTGCCAGGATAAACGATAACCCAGGTTATTGGGATAAAAAGTGTGTTTAAGAGTGTACGAACCACTCAAAACCTAGACGACGATTAAGAGGACAATAGTCTACTCATGATATCATATTTTTTCCTCTTCCCAAACTTTTTATAACTACCAACCCACCAAAATTGAATTTTCAATTTGATCAGAGGTACATTTTTCTCCCACGCATCTTTAGGTACCATGGTGTTTGAATTGAGCTGGGTTATTTTCAAGGGGCGGTGACTAGGGGCTGAGGGGGTGGGTTGGGGGCATTTGTGCCATCAAATGAGTAGTCATTGGTGAGGTGGTGGATCCAAGTTGCAACATCTTAGCTACAATGCTCACACACATTGTCACTCAACAAGTTGAGGTGAATTTGGTGTGCCCTGTGGTCATGCTCTCTACCTCGTTGTTGCAAGTTCTCGCAGTTGAGGAGCTGCATTTCGCAGCTTTTTTCCCACAAGCCTCCAACACGGTTAATCCAATCCAACGCCTCGTGGAGGTGCATGGGGTAGTGAAGGGCCTTGGACAGACATGATTGCTTTAAATGACTTCCAACGAAATTCCGACTGGAGTAAGCGGTAAACTACAGTGATGCCAAACCGTAAAGGACTGGTAAGTACAAGAACGGTAGCACCTGGATGCGATCAGAATAAAGAGAGAATTTGGCCTAGACATGCCTACATAAACCACGATAAACATAACGATGTATGATTCCGGAATGATGCACTGGCCGCTCTGTGACGTGCATAGTTCAAAAGTCCAACTTCAAATGCCGACTCGGCTTTAATCCTGATGGCTCTGATAGCTAACCAGAGACGCGCACCTTCGGGCAATAAGACTGCAGACTACGAAAAACAATCCTCTCTCACGCAGCAGTCGAGTGATTGAAAGGATAAGCATGGCATTGATCACTTTTATTTCTCAGGGTGTTAGTACTCCTCTTTGGCTGACTAAAATAAGGTGGGCATGTGGCAACAGACAAAATTTCCCACATTGTATAACTTATGGACTTCACTTTTCATACTGGTGATATTCGTGGGTGGAGTGTTGTAGCGTTACCAGTGTCTCGAGAGATTTAGTTTCTCCAAGAATAGTCACCTCTTATGCTTAAATGTCAATCAAATGAATGCTGTCGGAGGCGTTTTGCTTTTACAGTCATTATAAAGCATGCTCTGGCGCAAAAAAGACTTTCATACGTGTTATCAAGGCAAATAGCATTCCACCACTTTATCAATGGGAGGATAAATTCAATACATTTGATTTTGTGAGTTTTCTGGAGTTACATCACCGAGGTTTTTCCGAAATGAATGTGAAACTATTTATGACATACAGTTCCACCTTTGGAGCTTTTGAGTGTATAAATTTCACACACTGTCCAAGTAGTGCGACAGAACTCGCAGCTCATGGAATCGTTCTTACCTCTTAATATTTTTTTTTGAACCCGGATTTTAGGAATTGTAAAATCAACGGATTATGCGTTGATGCAACAGGTCATGCTATTCCTTAGAAGAATCGGCGGCAATGGATCGCCTCCGGAAACCTCGAGTTCAAACCACCCTAGTAATTCTGAGACATCCACACAGCCAGGCTTCCTAACAAAAGAGCTGCTTTTAGGCGCTTCTTGACATCTATATGCCTCTTTTTCACTTGTATATGATCGCATAAGATGGATGAAAATCATCTACTTACTTTGTCAATCCAATAGGTAGCGTCATAATGGGGGCGGCAAATCGAAAATTTTAGTACAGTAGTACTGCACTAACAATGCTTCGAACGTGCACTCCTTCTCTATTTTTGAGAAACTTTCTTCATCTGCTTGCTCACGCATAGGCACTCACTTGCTTATGTTCATCTGTTTACCCCTTTGTCTTGATCTGTTTTCTACTGCATATAAGTCTTGTGATAAAATTGGCGGCATGACTCTAAAGTACACGACTTGTGAAAGGCAGGACATAAGTGTTTATGTCCCTTCTATGTCTTTGTTTTATACTTCTGGGCAATACTATCAAAAATATTCCCCTAATTAGATACTTGCCCAATACATTAATCACCTTTCAATCCAGGTTTTTGCTGTCCGTCCTAAAAAATCCATTTTGACAGATTGCCAATTACCTAATATTTTTAATGCCTTGTGAATGGAAATATGCTTTATTGGAAAGAGTTTAATCTTTGTTACTAAATGCTAGCATGTTTTAATTCTAGGGGGTGACATTGACACGCTCGATACCAGTCTCGGAGGGAAATCGACCACGATGTGAACTTAGATCTTATACAATTCTAAAATGACACAAACCTCCATTCCTTTTTGCTCAGTTCAAAAGTTAGCTAATGTAGTTGTCTCTAGGCTAAGAGTAGTTAGTTCCCATCTTTTTGTTTTAAAATCCGTCAACCTGCATGTGACCCGGTTTGTTGAGACCAGTTGTCATCAAGTGACAAGAAACGCGTCCCTCTATGCCATTAGTGTACTGGGCTTAGGTAAGAAAATAGGAGGGTTACGTCTTTGTGAATGATGCAACAATTACCAAGGTCTCCCTAGCCCTATTCAAAATTTCAATGCTCTTGAAGTAGTGATTAGTCACTACTAAAAGGTTGACAAAAATTGCGCTATTAGAGTATCACCTAGATGTGCCCTCACACGACGTTAGGCGCTTATCCTGGCTTTACTAATACCCTACTAAAAGGATAAGCGAAATTACTGCGCCGGAGTTTCAACCGCGCCATGGAACTACTCTCCCACCCCATAGAGGCCCAGTAATTGTTCAAGCAGGATTGATTTTGTGGGGTGTGCTTGCGGAAGAATTGCTATTTTTAGTAGAGCATCCTCTAACCGTCAAAAGAGCGGTCAGCTTTGTGGAAGTTCATGATTTAACAGGCAGGCTTTTGACGGAATTACTAATATTGAACGCAGCATTAATGCCAGGCAGCGCAGCTCATTTAAACTCAGCTGTAAACAACAGTCAGATCTAATGGAAAAATATGCCTACGCAAATGTTCACTTAGACAAATAGAGTGCTTTGTTTTTTAGCCTATTTGGGGTTTCATTCCGGATAATAATACAAAACGAATGTCTCAACGATCCATGGTAAAACTAATGAAACAAATTATTATGCATGTAGCCAAAGCATTGTATGTCTGGAAGCTCTAAGTTGTGGATGGAAGAAGCTTTGAGGGGAACTTAGGATTCAACATATTAGCTGCTATACAGATTGCGGAAAACACACTGAAAATATTAAGTTTTATTCATCACGCGTCTGCACTTCGGGGATAAAAATGATTTTTTTAACACGAAATTCTGTTTGTGTTTCATTTAACGAGTAATGCGAAGAACAACTTGGAGGTTCTTTGACATATTCAGTCTGTATGACCAGCTGCACAGAAGGAGGCTACTACTAATGGAAGCCAAAGCGCCACTAGCAAAGCCACGAATGCTCATTGTTGATGACTTTACTTAGTGGATCAATTTAGCACTACAAAGCCTCTTGATTTAGAAACAAGAGAAGCCATCATGATAGGGTGGGTCCATGTCCTCATACTAAACTGTTTTGTCACGAAGCCTCCCCACAAAATACACGTTAAGCAAACTTTGAATTTTTCCATGAATACTTGATTTACTCATGGAAACTCCCAAAAAGCTGGTGACAAAGACGATTTTGTCATTATCAGTTATAAACGATGGCGCAGTGACTGGTTTTTGGTGGAAGTTAGTCTGCTTAGAAGAGTAACTGACTGCTAAGTTGGGAAAATATGAATTTTTACTTATTATTACCCCGTAGATTC